CCCGGACCTCTGCTTAACGCGACTGTCAGCAGCAGTGCGTCCTCTGGGGGTGCGGGGGCCCGCGCCCATCGGCAAAACCATCAAAAAGAAAACGATCGCGAGCTGTTTAACAATGTGTGTTGTTGTTCCCCTTGAACTCTCACTCTTGCAAACTAACCAGTGTTGATCCCACCCACCCGCGCACATCATGTTTTCAATTGCAGTGCCCCCTCTCGGGTTTCGCGCCCTGTTCTTTATCAGGGAAAATATTCCTGCTCAAACTGTGCCCCTGGCTCCCCAGCTACAACAACAACGCCTCCCGCCTCAGACTTCCTTACAGTCTATTCCGAACTAGCGCTCTGGCGCGGGAATTCCTCACGATGTATGCAAGAATCGCAATCTCTCGTGGGACTTCCCCAGAATGTGTTCAGACGCCGCGCCGTCGACGCTCAGGAATCACATCCTCGCCGTGGCACTTCCCACGATGTGCTCGGGGATCGCACTACCGCTCAAGCTTTCCCCGCGATCCACGCAGGACTCACGCTGTAGCAATTTCCTGCTCGATCTCACCGCCTGGGACCTCCTTCCCGACACGACCGCCAGGGCCTGCCCAACCCATCTGCCCGGGTGGTTCTACCACGCGCTTTCTGATCCTAGCGTCCTTCCGCCTAATTTCTCTCGTGCTCCATCTTTCTCCCTCCCCATTCTACCCGTCCTCTCTTCCCCTGTTCAAAAAGGGCTGCGCCGACTACGCACGGCAGGTCAGGAAAATATGCCTCCAACGGGGTACGATCGAAGACGAAGAGGGCGGATACCGAGGGTTTGGGATATATGTATTGAATTGTGCGCAAGCAGACAGGAACGAACAATATTAAAGGATTGGGGTGGTTGCTGTTGCTATCGTTGTTGTTGGTGTTCTTGTTGGTGTTGCCGCTGCAGTTTGTGAAGTGCTACTACTATGATTAGGGTTAGCCTTATTAATCATAGGACTAGTACGACGATTCGTAACATAATGATCATTATACTCTTCTTCTTGCTACCACTAGTACTACGACTACTACGACTACTACCACCACCAGTACTCCTACTACTACTACTACTACTACTACTACTACTACTACTACTACTACTACTACTACTACTACTACTACTACTACAACTACTGCTACTACTACTACTACTACTACTACTACTACTACTACTGCTACTACTACTACTACTACTACTACAACTACAACTACAACACAACTACTACTACTACTACTACTACTACTACTACTACTACTACTACGAGTACTACTACTACTACTACTACTACTACTACTACTACTACTACTACTACTACTACTACTACTACTACTACTACTACTATACTACTACTACTACTACTACTACTACTACTACTACTACTACTACTACTACTACTACTACTACTATTACTACTACTACTACTACTACTACTACTACTACTACTACTACTACTACTACTACTACTACCACTACTACTACTACTACTACTACTACTACTACCATGTTGTTTTTAGTCATATTTGTGGTGCTCTTAATTTTGTTGTTGTCGCTGCTGGTGCTGTTACTGTTGATCTCCACTCCCTCCAACTGCTTTTGATCCCCCAATTCGGCTCCCATGCTGTCTTGATTTCAGTGTCTCTCCCAGGGCTCGCACCCTGCCCTCTAGTAACAAAATCTGTGGCGCCAGACTGGGCTGCTGGCCCCCAAACTGCAAGAACAACGGCTCACGCCTGACACTGCCTCACAATGTATTAAGAATCGCGCTCTCGCGCTGGATTTCCTTACAAAGCATTCATGAACCGCGCTCTCGCGCGGGACCTTTCTGATTTATTCGTGCGCCGCGCCTCCAACACTCAGGAATCACGCTTTCACCATGGACGTCCTCGCGGTTTAATTGAGGATCGCGCCATCGCTAGAAACTGCCTCGCGATTCATGAAAGGGCCCGCTCGAGCTGGCCACCTGGGCCCGCCTGCCTGGCCCGCCCGTTGGTGTCCGCCCGCCAGACCCGCCAGCGTGGTTCTGCAGTCTGTTTATGTTTAGCACTCTCGTGCTCCATCCTTTTCCCTCCCATGTTTGCCCCATCCCTTCCATCTGTCTCCTCTTCCCTTGGTCAAGGGGCTGCGCCAACTAACTACACGTGGCAAGTAAGGGGGATAGACCCCCAAGGGGGTGCGATCGAAGGCGAAGAGGGCGGCTATCAAGGGTTTGGGATGTACGTGTTGAATGGCACGCGGGCAGATACGAGCGAACAGCCTTACACTGATAACTGCTGTTGTTCAGTTCACATCTCTAAAGCAAATGTATTGTCGATCCCCTCCTGAGGTATCAGTTGTAATTTTCCAACTGAAGTGCCCGCCTCGAGGCTCGCACCCTGTTTTTGTTTTAGAAAAAGCTTCGTGCCACCAAACTACTCCCCTGGCCACCGAACCACAACAACCGCGGCTCCCGCCTCATACTTCCTCACAGCTTATGCCGAAATAGCGCACTGGCGCGGGATTTCCCCAACATGTATGCAGGAATCGAGCTCTCGCGTGGGTCTTTCTCGCGATTTACGCCGCGCCCTCTACACTCAGGAATCACGCTCTCGCTCTGGCCTTTCTCGCGGTATGCTTGGGAATCGCGCTATCGTTCCAGCTCTCCTCGCGATTCATGCCGTACCCACGCTTCTGCAACACACGTTCTCGATCTGACCGCCTGGGCCCTCCTTCCCGACCCGACCGCTAGGGTCTACCCGCCCGATGGGCCCGTCTGGTTCTGCCACGCGATTTCTGCTCCTAGCCCACCTGCGGCTAATTTCTCTCGTGCTCCATGTTTCTCCCTCCCCCTTCCATCCGTCCTCCCTTCCCCTGCTCAAATTGGTTTCGCCAGCTACGCTTGGCAGGTAAGGAAAATATGCCCCCAAGGGGGTACGATCGAAGACGAAGATGGCGAATGTTCCCCAATCAGAGCTTGCCTCTGTAGGGGTCCTAGCGGATTCATATGGTTAAGTGAAGTGCGGCGCCGATTTGGTGGCTGGCGGCCGGGTGCCCAGGGGTGCCCGGGCCCGGGGGTGCCCGGGTGCCCGGGTGCCTGCAAGTGCCAGGGTGCCCGGGTGCCCGGGTGCCCGGGTGCCCGGGTGACCGGGTGCCCGTGTGCCCGGGTGCCCAAGTGCCCATGTGCCCGGTAGCTCTATATAACCCTATGGCCATATAGCCTTGTAGCCCTATAGCCCTTATAGCCCTGTAGCCCTATAGCCCTCTAGCCCTGTAGCCCTATAGCCCTCTAGCCCTACAGCCCCATAACCCTGTCGCCCAATAGCCCTACAGCCCTATGGCCCTATAGCCCCATAGCCTTCTAGCCCTATAGCCTTATAGCCCCATAGCCCTCAAGCCCTAAAAAAATAGGATTGGGGCTTTTCTCTGGTATCATCGAGGGTCTGCGGTAGACGTACTGAATGGCACGCGAGCAGATCGGCGCGAACAGTCTTAAACTGATTATTGTTGTTGCTGCTGGTGGTATTGTCGCTGTAGGTGTTGTGATTCTGGCTGTTGGTAGCACTATTGTAAGTATTGCCGTTGCTGTTGTTGCTGCTGTTGTTCCTGTTGTTGTTGCTGCTATTGTTGTCATTGTTGTTCGTGTTGTCTTTCGAAGCTTCTCTCTATTACATACTTACAATGGGTCCACCCCTTGAGGTGCCCATACAGCTTGTTCAACTGAAAGGCTCCTCCCGTGGTTCGCATCCTGTTTTTGTATAACAAGAGGCATATCAGATTAGGACTCTTGGCCCCGGCACTACCACACCAACGTCTCCCGCCTGATGCTTCCGCACAAATTGTTTGCAATCGCGCTCCCGCGAGGGACACACTCACAATGTTTCCAGGAATCGCGCTCTCGCGTGTGACTTTCTTACGACTTGCGTGGGAATAGCGCTATCATTGTTTAGAAATTTCCTTGAGTTTCATGCGGGCAGGCACTTCTCGACCTGGCCGTCTGGACCCGCCAGCCTGGCCCGCCCGTTAGGGTTCGCCCGCCCGACCCACCCATTTGGTTTTGTCGCTTATTGTTCTGCTCCTGCCCTTCCTCCTGCTAGTATCTCTCGTGCCCTATCCTTCTCCCTCCCCCTTGCACCTTCCCTCCTCCCTCCCTTCCCCTGAGTTCGGGGCTGCGCCAACTACACGTGGCAGGCAAGGGAAATATATCCCAAAGGGGGGTGCGATCGAAGCCGAAAAGGGCGGTGATCGAAGGCTCGGGATTTATGTGTTGAGTGATGCGCGAGCAGATAAGAACGAACAATATAACAATGATTGTTGTTGTTGTCGCGCTCACCCGCCACCCCCTCGAGACCCACTCGCGACCCACCCCGCGACCCACCCCGCGACCTACCGCACGATCCACCCGCGACCCTCCCCGCGACCCACCCCTCGACCAACCCGCGAATCACCCACGTGGCAGTGCCGAGAACATCGGCGCCTACGGCGGGCCTGTTGTGCAATGTGCAAAAAGAAACATAAAACAGAGTCTGCGGCGGTTGTGTTCAGAGCCTCGCAAAGTGCCCAAACCCCCTTCGCCCCCTCACTCTTATCCGCACTCGTGAGGTAGTTCATGTATATATATGTATATATGTATATATAATGTATAAAGAGGGAGCATCGAAAGATACAGAGGGAGAGAAAGAGAGAGAGAGAGAGAGACGTGTGTGCATATATCCATATTTATATATATATATATGAAAGAGAAAGAGAGTGAGAGAAAGAGAGAGAGAGAGAGAACAAGGAGAGAGAGAGAGAGAGAGATAATCAAAGAGAGAGAGAGAGAGATTGAGAGAAACAAAAAAAAACAAACAACGAAAAAACATAGGGAAAGAGCGAGAGAGGGAGAGAGAGAGAGAGAGACCCCCCCCCCAACACAAAGAACAAGGCATATATATACATATATATGTATAGAAAGAGAGAGAGAGAGAGAGAGAGAGAGAGAGAGAGCGAGAAAGAAAACGCGAGAGCAAGGCGGACTCCTTCAAGCAACGAACGTTTTCCCAATTGACCTCCCCTGGGGACCCTCCACTCTTGGCGAGGGACCTCTGCGTGTGGGCGAACACATGCAGCGACTGAGTGAGCGGGCGAGGGCGATCATGCACGACCGCATGCAACGAATACTCCCAAGGCCGGTGCTCGGTTATCTAATTGTTGGTTTCACGCTGCTCGCGCTGCTCGCCTTCGGTTGAAACCGATCGTGCGGAAACTTAATCAACAAACCAACGTTATATGAATTCAAAAACGTACGCGAATACCCGTGTAATGACATCCTACGCGGCCTCGCTTTGAGTCAAGATATGCCGATGCACCTTTTGACACCCATGTCAACTCTGCCTCTGGAGTCCCTCGTGGCGCGTATCACAAAGCCGCTGTGATCAACCGCGGGATAGGCAGGTGAAGGCGGAAGAGGTTGAAGAGGAGGACGGGGGGGGAGGAGCGAATTGAAGAGGTGGAGAGGCAAACGCGAGAAGTGAATATTTGGATGCAAAGAGCACGGGAGTGACCACCGACAACCTGAGGCACAGCCCGTAAGGCGGAGGCCACGTGTGGCAAACGCAAGAGATGACAACCAATTGCAACTGCTCGTCGGGTGGAGGGAACTGTGGCAACGGAATCGACGTGCTGCCATCCCGTTTCGCCGCGCTGTCAATGTCGCCTCGCGATGCAAGACGCTGCTCTCTCCATCTCGAGAAGCCCTGATTCGGCCCCTCCTGCCTCCGACGCGGCATCTGCGACCCTCGTCTTGCAACTTCTTGTCCTCAACCTCACCGTCCTGGACCCCATCCTGTCCCTGTCTCGGACCTCCTCGTCCCGGAAGGATGGCCACCCGTGCGTGAAGGACTCCTCCAGGAAGGCCCGCACCGAGCGGCCCTTCGGAACAAGCTTGTTTCGCACGGTCAAGCGTGCAATCACTGTCTCTCACTCTCCCTCCCTCGCGACCTCTGGCCAAGAAGCCCATTCGAAGCACGCCCAGACAGGAAGGGCCACCATCATCGAAAACCTGTAGTTGGTTGAAAGGAGTCTGGCCCTCCCGGGAGCCTCCGAGGAGAGGTGACTCTGCCGTTTGGCTGTCTTCGCGATTGGGGGGCCACCTCTGGGGGCCACCTTGGCACCAGCGCGTGGCCATCTTGCGGCCCTCCTGGGCCCCGACACGCCTTTCGCCCACCCTGCTGGCGGCCCTTCGCCCGCGCTGCCGGCGGCCTTTCGCCCGCCCTTGGGGCCCAGTGAAGTCCGCAGCCCCCCCCGGGGGCCGCCCTCGCGCGCGCGGACTAGATCTCGCCATCGCTCGGACGTCCATTCCCTGCGTTTTTTTCGGTTTCGTGCATGGCTTTTTCGTCAAATGATCAAGGATGCTCCTCGGTGGTCCTCGCCGAAGGAAAAATGCACACGTCCGAGCGATGCCAAGAGATGCAAGCAACTACGCCTCTATCTCTGAGCTACCTGTGCAAGGAATCTGCCACGCCTGTGACCCGTTGGGCCGACTCCTGCGGCTTTCTGTTTTAGCACCGGTCCCACTTCGTCGCGAGGGTCTGCGAAAACCGTTCCCCGGCTTTGCTCCCTGGAGCACTCTTCGGCCTCCAGACGACTCCAAGACGGCTCAAGACCGCCACTAGACGGCTGCAAGATGTCCGACGTGCAGCCCAAGACGGCCCAATGCTAGTCCCAGAACTACAAGTTACCCCCACCCTGATCGGACAATAACGGGAAGCACCGATTTGTACACCAAGTCCGTCAGAAAACAACAAGTTGATAATTGAGAAAATTAGCAGGGCAGACCAAAGGACAACGGTTCATTGTGCAGGGCTGCCGTGCTGATCTGTCAAGGTTGCTTGCGGTCCTGGCCGCACGATGGTCCTCGTGGCTGTCAAGGGCTCTCGGGCTTCTCCTGAGTTCTGCGGGGTTATCTTGGGAGCCCTTTGGGTGCCTCCTGGCCCATGCTGGATTGTCTGAGAGCGTCTCGAGGATCTGTGGGGCTCTCTCGGAGAGCATGGGTGAGAGAAACAAGAGCGGAGAAAGCCTAAGGGATTATTCTTGCTGTCAACGTTTGTGTTCATGGCCTTGACGGTCCCAGCTCCGGAAGCTGCACACACATATGTGTATGCGTGTACGCATGTTTTGGATGTTTCTTCATTTTATAGGTTAAGCATGTATACGTATAGCGGAACTGTATGTATCTACATATCTACATATATTTCTATATATATATATATATATGTGGGTTCCTGAAGCTCTGAAACCAAAAGCACTGCCATCTCGAAAGGGGCATGTTCCACTTCCGCCGCCTTCCGCCGGCCTGCCGCCAACGGAGGTCCCAGGTCGCCTCGTTTTATTTCCGCCGACCTTCCGCAGCCTTCCGCCGGGGAAGAGATGGCAAATCCTTCGACACTCGAAGGCAGGGCCATGCCTGGATCGCCTTACGTATACGTATATATGCATGTACACATATATATATATATATATATATATATATAATATATATAATATATATATATATATATATATATATATATGTACAAACTACATATATATACACATGTGTGTGTGTGTCGGTGTGAAGGTTGTCCCCGTTGCATGTCACCCGCCCCGACATCCGCAATTCCGATGCAAGGAGGTTCCAAAATCGCTCGATGTGACTCGACGGGGTGCTCGGGGGGCAACCGTGGAGGGACGGGAGCTCCCAGAGAGCCCCGAAATAGCCCCTGTGGGACGGGACGGCACCGAAACAGGTCCCACCAGCCCCATGGAGACCCGAAGTGGTATCTTCAGTCCTCTCGTCTTCCCATCCTGACGAAGCTGGTTGCTGCTACCTTCCTGAGATACCACATGCTGCTCGCCGAATTGCCGAGCCCGCCCAGACCCACAACCGTCAAACCCACTACCGCGGGAACGGAGCCCACACCTTACGGGAATACCACAAGCTAGTTTCCGCTTCCTTACTGGAATGCCACAAGCTATTTGCCGCTTACCGCCAGCCGCCACCTTACTGGAATACCACATTCAAGGTACCGCTCGGCAGAAATCGCACCTTACTGGATACCATTGGCTGATTCCCGCTCGGCGGGACGCGTGCCTTTCTAGAATACCGCTCCCACAGGCTAGTTGCTGCTACTGCACTGGAATACCACAGGCGACTCGCCGAACGACAGCGTGCTCTGCCAGACAAACGCGCAGAGCCCACACCTTCCGGGAGTACAGCCAAATATTTGCCGTCACCTCATTGGAATACCACAAACTACTTACCGCTCGGCGGGACGAGTGCCTCGGCGTGCGGTGCGCACCTCGCCCTGGTGCGCGGCTGAGCAGGGGCTTGCGTGATGCGCAAGCTGTGGGACAAGGAGAGCCGCGCTCGAGCGAGTGTCGCTCAATGGGGCCAACGCGGACAGAGCTACGGCTGACTCTCTAAGGAGGTGTAGGGCTGCAGGAGTAGGAGCGGCAAAGGAGAAGCAAAAAGAGCAAGAGGAGCAGCGGAGAAGGAATGGACGAGCAGCAGGACAGGCTTGAGCAGGTAAGGGAGGAGGCGAAGGTTGGATATGAAGAGAGGGAGGAAGAGCAGGCAATACCGAGTATGAATATCTGCAATTGTAATAGATCTGGTCATCATCGTTCGTCGTCGTCGTCGTCGCCGTCCTCCTCCTGCTGCTCTTGCTCCTGCTTGCCCACCTCCTCCTCATCATCATCACCATCAGCTCCATCATCATCAGCATCATCATCATCATCAACAACAACATCATCATCATCAACATCATCATCATCACCATCATCACCGTCATCATCATCACCACCGGATTCCTCGTCCACCTCTTGTATGGTGCGTTCTCGGGGGACCTTGTTTGTCCCGTCGTGGCCCCATCCGCGTCGAATCCGTGTCGAATCCATGCCGGCGCCCGACGTGGATCCGTGTCGAATCCGTGTCGAATCCACGTCGAATCCACGCCAAATCCGCGTCGGGTCCGCATCGAGCCCGCGTCGGGCACAAGAAAAGATACGAATTTTGGGGACAGGCGAGGTCCCCCGAAAATACAGCGTAACCTCCTGCCTCCTCCAGGCAGGTGCACGCGCTCACAGATATGCAGTCGGACAGGGCACGACCATCGCTGAGAGAAGAACGAGGAATTTTTGCTGTTCCCCGAACAGGTCCCGACGACCACTAGCAGCTCGGGGGAGGAAGGAGCAGCGGAGGAGCCCCCGGACGGCTACTAGTCGGAGCGCAAGGAACAGACCCGTGGATTGCCGCACGGGAACTGCGAAAAGCAAACACAGCCTTGGCACCTGGGTGCCAGCCAGGCTCCTGCAGTCCAGAGGCGCCAGGGGTACAAGCCGCCCAAACTGGGCCAGACCAAATGGGGTCGGAAAATATATCACCGCACCGCTGATGCAGCATGCATCCCCAGACATGCGACGTCCTGATTCCCAACCATCCTGTGGTGTTGGGTCCTCGTTTTGAAGAGACGGCACCCCGCGTTCTCCTCCTCCTCCTCCTCCTCCTCCTCCTCCTCCTCATCCCGCCTCCTTCCTCCTCCCCCTCCTCCCTCCTGCCTGCGTTTCACCCACCCAGTACAACGTTTCATGGACAAATCAGGAGCTCCACCGAAGGCCCCAGTGCCACAGCCCGCATGCGCCACGCACACCTAGTTCGGCACACCACTCACGCGTTCCATAGCCCCATAGGGAGCTCCACCGAAGGTCCCGGTGCCACCGCCCGCATGCGTCACGCACACTCATGTCGGCACTCCCCTCACACGTTTCGTGGCCCCACAGGGAGCTCCACCGAAGGCCCCAGTGGCTGCTTTCGCATGCGCCCACCGCACCCATTTCCTCCACACCCATCACACGCTTCGTGGCCCCACAGCGAGCCCCACCGGCGGCCCCAATGGCTGCGTTCGCATGCGCCCACCGCACCTATGTCGGCACACATCTCGCGCGTTTCGTGGCACCATAAGGAATTCCACCGATGGCCCCAGTGGCTACATTCGCATGCGCCCACCGGACAAATTTTGGCACACCCCTTACACGTTGCGTGGCCCTCTAGGGAGCTCCTCCGAATGCGGTGCATACAACGACGGTATTCACAACTGCGTACTGTTGGGTCCTTCGCCAGGCTATTGTTTCAGGACGGCATCCCTGGAAGTCCTGACCCTTTCTCCGGGATGGGTTCTTCGTGCAAAACCGTTTCTCCCAACCATCCCGTGGTGTTGGGTCCTCGTTTCGAAGCGACAGCGCCCCGCGTTACTCACTCACTCCTCCTTCCCTTCCTCCTTGCACCGCCCGCATGCGTCACCCAAACTCATTTCGGCACACCCCTCACACGCGCTTCGTGGCCCCGCTGGAAGCCATACAGAAGGCCACAGTGCCACCGCCCGCATGCGTCACGCATACCCATTTCGGCACACCCCTTACACGTTCCGTGGCCCCATAGGGAGCTCCACCGAAGGCCCCAGTGGCTGCTTCTGCATGCGCCCACCGCACTCATTTCGGCACACCCCTCATACGGTTCGCGCCCCCTCAGCGAGCCCCACCGGCGGCCCCAGTGGCTGCGTTCGCGTGTGCCCACCGCAACTAATTCGGCACACCCCTCACGCGTTTCGTGGCACCATAAGGAATTCCACCGACGGTCCCAGTGGCTGCTTTCGCATGCGCCCACCAGACAAATTTTGGCACACACACACACACACACACCTCACACGTTTCGTGGCCCTCTAGGGAGCTCCTCCCAATGCGGTGCATACAACGACGGTGCTCACAACTGCATATGGCTGGTTCCTTCGCCAGGCTAATTTGCCCGTCCCGAGGCCCGGCGATGGCCCCCCGAGGCAGAAAATAGCCAAAAAACCTCGGACGAGATCATGTCTGGGTCGGGCTCTGGGCATCCATCGCGCCGCATCGCTGGTGCATCAACGAGGTGGTGTGCTCCTCCGACCCCCCGCCTGCTCTGGCCCCTTCCGGGCGGCCTGCACGCGGGCCGTGGCCCGCTGCCTCGCAGGCCCGCGGGCGCCAGGCAGGGAGGAGAGGCCTGCGCAGCCGGGCCGGCAGCTCAGGTCCCCAGCGAGCCGCTCCCCCGCGTGCGCAGCACGGCCCCTCCGACGACGCTGCTGGCTGCCACCGCGGGCAGCCGGACCCCAGGCAGAGGTGCCTCGACGAGCCCCCGTCGGCGGCCGCGCGAGGCCGCCTCAGTCGATGTCGTGCGCGGGCGCCTCTGGCGCTGCGGCGAGCGCCCGGCGCTTGGCGGGCGGCTGGGAAGCGGGCGGTTCTTCCTGGAGGGCCTTCTGGCCAGGCTGAGGGGCCGCGGGCTTCCTGACCTCGAAGGCGTAGGGGTTGATGCCCACGGACTTCGAGATGTCCTGCGTCTTGTATATGCCCACGAGCAGGTCGGCCATCTCGAACATGTGGTTTCGCAGAGAGATGACGATGAACTGCGCGTTCTTGGTACGCTCCTTGATGTAGTTGGCGATGATGGACACGTTCCGGAAGTCCAGGGCGGCATCGATCTCGTCCATGAAATACAAGGGGGTCGGTTTGTAGTGGTGCAGGGCAAAGACTAGCGACAACGACGCCAGCGTCTTCTCGCCACCTGACAGATTCGTGATCTGCTTCCAGCTCTTTTTTGGGGGGCGCACGCTGAAGTTGATGCCCTCACTGAAGGGGTCAAGGGTGTCGACCAGCTCGAGCTCCGCATCGCCGCCGAGAGTGATCATCTGGTACATTTCCTTGAGTTTCATGGAGATCACAGAGAAGCCGTCCATGAACTCCTCGAGGCGCTGCTGCCGCAACGACTCCAACTGACGGCGAGCCTCCTCGCGCTTTCCGTGCACCTCGTCGTAGTCTGCCAGCCGAGACCTGTATTCCTTGTCGGCGCGCCGGAACTCCTCGATAGACGCAAGGTTTGGCTTCAGGTCCTTCACGTTGGCCTCGAGCGCAAGCACGCGGGCCTCCGCGTCGGCGCTCACCACCTGCTGCAGCTCCCGCTCCTGCAGGTCCTCCCTGATGGCTCTCCGCGGCAGCAGCTCGGCGCCGCCTTGCGCCTCCTGCGCGTCGGGGGGCCCGCGAAGCTCGCCGAGGAGGTCGAGGGGCAGCTGATCGTACTCCTGCCGGTACTGGGCCAGCTTCTCGCCCCACGCCCTGATGCGAGCCTGCAGTTCCCTCAGCGTGCGCGTCTTCTGCTCCATTTCGTGGACAAGGTCGACCTCCTGCTCCTTCAGAGCGTTCGCCTGGCCGATGACCTCTTCGCGTTTCTGGCGGAGCGTCTGGAGCAACTCGTCCTTCTGCACGAGTTCGTCCTTGATCCCATTGTAGGTGTTGAGAACCTGCTCCGCTTTGTCGTCGAGCTTCGCGTGCTCCTCCCTTAGCCTGACAAGCTCCTTTTCTATCTTGGCCTGGTCCTTCAGGGCCGCCTTGGCCGCCTCCTCGGCGACCTTAGAATTCTTTACCATGTTGTCAGCGTCAAGAAGTGCCTTCTTCATGTTCTTGCGGAGCTCCTCGCACTTCTTGGTAGCCTCCTCCGCCTTCGCCGTCGCGTTCTTGAGCTCTTCCCCCCCGATGTTCATGATCTGGTCGTGCAGCTTTCGCACCTCGTCCTCGACAGCCTGGTGCTCCGCCTGAACCTTGTTCAGCTCGCTGGACCGGCTGCTGATGATCTTCTCCAGGTCCTTCAGTTTAGACTTCTCCCCAGACGACAACGACGGTACCTTGAGCTCGGCGAGGCGCTTACTGTACGCGTCTACCTGCTTCTGGAGGCTGGCCGCCTCCATGCTGCACTTCTTCTCCTGAAGCTCTGCGTCTGCGATCTCCTTCTCCGTCTGCTGGAGCGCCTCCTCCAAGCTGGCCTTCTCTTGCCTCAAGGCTCTTACTTGCTCTCTGCCCTTTTCGTACGCCTGCTCGAAGGCCTTCACCTCCTCCGTGCTGTACTGGCACACGGAGGCGCGCATGCCGCCCCGCTGCACCTTGCCGCCGCCTCCGCTCATGGTGCCGTTGGTCTCGATGAGCCCGCCCATCAAGCTCACTACCCTCCAGCGCTTCTTGCCGTAGGCGACGCGAGAGGCCTCGTCCAGGTCCTTGGCCACGAGCGTCGCGCCCAAGGCGAAGAAGAATGCCACACGGTATTCCTCCTTGGTCGGCTGGATCAGGTCAAACAGGCGGGGCACATCCTCTGGCGTCTGCATCGGCTGCCGCGCCTGTGCCTCCAGATGTTTCTGCTTGTCCAAGCAGATGCACGTGCACTGCCCAAGCTCCCTCTCTCGGCAGAACTGGATCACAGCCTGTGCGTCCTCCGTGGTGTCCACCACGATGGCGTTCAAGTAGCCGCACGCTGTGGACACGGCCACATCGTACTTCTTCTGGATGGTCCCGAGGTCCCCCAACCGGCCGTGCACGCCCTTCAGCCTGCCGGCCTTGGCCTGCTCGTAGACAGACCTGATGAGCCTGCCGCGGTCGTGTTCCTCTTCGTGCTGGGACTTTGCCTCCGCGGCCTTCGCTTGCATGGCCATGACCTCCCGGCTCAGCTGGTCAATTTGGGCTCCCGTTACCTCCAACTTCTTCTTCCCCTCGCCGACCAGCCTCAGGGAATAGGCCTTGCGCTTGGACGCCTGCTTGGCGTCCTCCTCCCGGGCTTTGAGCGTCTGGCTGCATTGCTCGTGCTGGCCCTTGATGTCCTCGATCTGCTTTGCGACTCCCTCCGTCTTCTCCCGAATGAAGTCGGCCTCCGTCTTCGCCACGTCGACGACCTTGCGGACCTCGGTGAGCTTCTTCTGGATGGGCACCAGCTGGGCCTCCTTGGCCTCCTTCAGGGGCCGCAGCTCTTCCGCCTTGCCCTTTAGGCCGAGCTTGATCTTCTCGAGCTTCTCTTCCTGGCTGGCCCTGAAGCGCTTCGCGCTCTCTAACTCCTTCTCGCGCGTTGGTGCATCGTTCCTTAGGTCTTCCGCGTCTTCAAGCAGCTTCTTTGCGTTCGCCCTCTCCTGGTCCGCCGTCTGCTTTAACTTCTCCAGCTTCTGCTGCTGGAAGGCGATGTCCTCTGTGAACTTGACGTCCTGCTTCTCGAACTCCTGGAACGCGGCGCCCGCCTTCTCCATCTTCTCCTTCAGCTGGTTGTAGTCCTGAAGCCGCGCGTTGTGCTCCTTCTCGATTGCCGCCACCTGCTTCTCGAAGCCCTCCATCTTCTTCCGGTGCCCCTGCATGTGCCCCTCTAGCACCTTTTGGCGGCGCGCACCAGGGGGGGGCCTGCCAAGAAGGCGGCGCGCGTCTTGAAGGCAGGTGCCTTCTCGGAAGGGGACCTGGAAGCTTCTGAGAAGGCTTCCGGGCTTCTGAGAAGGCCCCTTCTCAGAAGGCGGCGCGCTTCTCAGAAAGGCCTCGCGCTTCTGAGAGAGGCGGCGCCCCCTCTAGGGAGGCGGCGCGCTTCTCAGAAGCCGGCCTCCTCAGACGCTCCCCAGGAGGCCCCCCCCCTTCCCCCTCTTAGGCGCGCCCCTCCCGCACCCGGTGCTGCTCCTCCAGGGCCCCCAGGCCCGCGTGGCTGCGGGCGGCCTCCGACTGCGCCAGCAGCGCCCCGACCTCCAGCCTCTCGGCCTCGGCGCTCACCCACGCCTCGGGAGGCCTCCCAGATGGGGCCCGAGCAGATGGGGTCGGAGGATCGGGCCGCATCGGTGATGCATCGCCGATGCATCGGCGCCGTCGGCGTGGAGAAAATCGGGCTCCACATCGAGCCGCATCGGCGATGCATCAGCGATGCGCCGCGATCCTCCGAGCCCATGCGCTCGGACCCCATCCGGGAGGCCCGGAGCCTCGGCCTCCCTGCGAGGGCCGTCCAGGCTCTCCTTCTCGCGCTCGGCCACGCGGAGGCGGTTGAGCTTCTCCTGGCGCCCCTCCGTCAGCTGCTCGACCGCGGCCTCCGCCTGCTCGATCGGCTCCACGAGGCGGTTCGAGCCGATGATGTCCTCGTCGGCGCGCCCAGGGGGGAGGAGTGGGAGGGGGCAGGCCTGCTCCATGGCGGCGGGGTTTCCCAGAAGCCCCCCGGCCTTCTCGGAAGTTTTGAGCGTCCCTCCTCCTCCTCCTCCTCCTCCGTTTCCTCATCCTCCTCCTCCTCCTCCTCCTCCTCCCCCTCCCCCTCCTCCTCCTCCTCCTCCTCCTCCTCCTCCTCCTCCTCCTCCTCCTCCTCCTCCTCCTCCTCCTCCTCCTCCTCCTCCAGGGAGGGCTCAGGCAACTTCTCAGAAGTCCCGATCCCTTCCGAGTCTTCTGAGAAGGCCCGCCCCCTCTGCCTCTCCCTGGGGCTCGCCGCCGATGTCCTCCAGGTACTCCAGGAGGCCGTCCTCGTGCGGTGTCAGGGCCTTCGGCTTCATGAGAGAGATCTGCTCGACCTCGCCCTGCAGGATGAGGAAGCGGTTGTGCTCCAGGTCCACGCCGCGCTTGCGGAGCACCTGGGTCACCTCGGTGAAGTTGCTGGACTTCCCGTCCATGTAGTACTTGGACTGGTTGTTCCTGAACGCCTCGCGCCCCACGCAGAGCAACGATCCCTCGACGATCTCGTAGTCTTCTGGCCCGTCGCCGGTGTCGATGATGTCCTGGAACGTCACCTCCACCTTCGCGCTGGGCACGTTGGGTAGCTCGGCGGACTGATGGATCAGCTCGGACACCTTGTTGAGGCGCATCTTCTTGGCACGCCTGCCGAACACGAACAACAGCGCGTCGATCGTGTTGGACTTGCCGCTGCCGTTGGGCCCCACGATGGATGAGAAGGACTTGTGGAAGGGGCCGATCACCTTTCGGTTGCCGTACGACTTGAAATTCGTGAGCACGATTTCCCGGATCATCAGCCTTGACCGCGGCCCCTGACGGAGGAACCAACGCGATTAGTACCGATGCCACTACTCCTCAGGCCTCCTCCAGGGTGCGCTCTGACCAGGGCTCTGGGGCGAGTCCAGCCGTGGCGACGATGCCCCACGACCCCCAGGGACGCTCAGAACCCAGAGCTACAAGAAGGTCCAGTTCAAGAAGGTTCGTTTCGCACAGAGGAAATCGGCCCCAGTGCCCTTGATATTTCTGTCCGGTTCTTGAGGTGCTCCAGCGGAGCCTCACGCGCGAAACGGACAATGAGCAACGAACCCTTTGGTAATCTCCGACAGCAGGGCGAAGACCTAGGCATCTCCCCAAACATACGCTGTCTGGCTGTCTGGATGTTTTCAATCCTCGGTCCCTCAATCCCGACCCATTCCCTTCGGCCGGCTTTTCATCCTGACTCGTTTTGTTGACGGTCCGGGGCCCTGCGAGGGCCCCTGGAGGGCGAAAACAGTCCAAAACCTCCCGTCGCGATGGAGAGGTAGCTCGAGCACGTCTGGGGAGGCACCTCGACATCGGCCCGCCTCCTTTCGGGCGGGTGTTCACAAGGGGGTGACGTCAATGGAGGGTGCAGAAAAGGGCCCTGCGGGGGCCCCTTTCTTCACCCCCATTTGGGTCCCCCCCGCCGTGCTGGCCTGAGCCCGACTCGAGCCCGAACTCTACTACAGTCGAACCCAGGCCCCAGGCCAGCAGAACACCCCTCAGGAACACGAGACCCTCCGCCTGCCATGCACTTGCAACATCCAAGGGTGCTCTCCCCAGGGTGCATCAGAACATCCAACGAACGCGAAGCACATGAGGGTATACCCTTCCCGAACCGACCTCGATCCTATACCTCGGCCCGACTGTAGAGCCCTCCCATCCAGCCTGGGGCTCTTCCGGCTTCGGCGGCGCCAGGACGCCACCGTCCTCCGCGGCCGCGGCCTCGGCCTGCGGCGCCTCGGCCTCGGCCGCCTCCGCCGCCGGCGCGCCCACGCCGGTCGGCGCCTCGGCCACGGCACGGTGGCTTCAAAGGTGGTGTCTTGAGGAATGAACGCGCCTGTGGAGCAACGCACGGATCGTTGGCAAAGACACTATGGAATTAGCCTGACGAAGGACCCAACAATATGCAGTTGCGAGTACCGCATTGTGGGTACCGGTTTCGGGGAAGCTCCGTGTGGGGCCACGAAGTGTCCGAGGGGTGCGCCGAAATCAGTGGCGCGGGCGCATGTGGACACCGCCACTGGGGCCTTCGGCGGAGCTCCCTATGGTGCCACGGAACGCTGTCCTGGGTGGCGTTGACGCATGCGAACTGCGCAATTGGGACCTTCGCTGGAGATCCGCATGGGGCCACGAAGCGATGTCATAGGTGGGGGTGACGCATGCGAATTGCGCCACTGACGCCCTCGGTGGAGCTCCCTATGGGGCCAAAACAAAACTCTCCTGTGTGGGGGACACGCATGCGAACGACGCCACTGCGAAGACGCTGTCCTGGGTGGCGTTGACGCATGCGGACGGTGCCCGGGGGCTTTCGGTAAAGCTCCCTATAGGGCCACGAAGCGCTGTCCTGGGTGGGGTTGACGCATGCGGACCCTGCCCCTGGAGCCTTCGGTGGAGCTCCCGATGGGGCCACGAAGCGCTGTCCTGGGTGGCGTTGACGCATGGGGACCCTTTCACTGGAGCCGTCGCTTCTATGGGGCCACGAAGCGCTGTCCTAGGTGGCGTTGACGCATGCGGCCCGTGCAACTGGAGCCGTCGGTGGAGCTCCCTATGAGGCCACGGAACGCTGCCCTGGGTGGCATTGACGCGTGCGGCCTGTGCCACTGGAGCCTTCGGTGGAGCTCCCTATGGGGCCACGAAGCGCTGTCCTGGGTGGCGTTGACGCATGCGGCCTGTGCCACTGGAGCCTTCGGTGGAGCTCCCTATGGGGCCACGAAGCGCTGTCCTGGGTGGCGTTGGCGCATGCGGCCTGTGCCGCCTTCGGTGGAGCTCCCTGTGGGGCCAAAAAAAACTGTCCTGTGTGGGGGACACGCATGCGAACGGCGCCACTGCGAAGACGCTGTCCTGGGTGGCGTTGACGCATGCGGACGGTGCCCGGGGGCTTTCGGTAAAGCTCCCTATAGGGCCACGGAGCGCTGTCCTGGGTGGGGTTGACGCATGCGGACCCTGCCCCTGGAGCCTTCGGTGGAGCTCCCGATGGGGCCACGAAGCGCTGTCCTGGGTGGCGTTGACGCATGGGGACCCTTTCACTGGAGCCGTCGCTTCTATGGGGCCACGAAGCGCTGTCCTGGGTGGCGTTGACGCATGCGGCCCGTGCCACTGGAGCCGTCGGTGGAGCTTCGAGGCCACGGAACGCTGCCCTGGGTGGCATTGACGCGCGCGGCCTGTGCCACTGGAGCCTTCGGTGGAGCTCCCTATGGGGCCACGAAGCGCTGTCCTGGGTGGCGTTGACGCATGCGGACCGTGCCAGTGGAGCCTTCGGTGGAGCGACGCATGCGGCCTGTGCCGCCTTCGGTGGAACTCCCTATGGGGCCACGAGGCGCTGTCCTGGGTGGCGTTGACGCATGCGGCCTGTGCCACTGGAGCCTTCGGTGGGGCTCCCTATGGGGCCACGAAGCGCTGTCCTGGATGGCGTTGACGCATGCGGACCCTGCCACTGGAGCCTTCGGTGGAGCTCCCGACGGGGCCACGAAACGCTGTCCTGGGTGGCGCTGACGCATGCGGACCCTGCCACTGGAGCCTTCGGTGGAGCTCCCTATGGGGCCACGAAGCGCTGTCCTGGGTGGCGCTGACGCATGCGGACCCTGCCACTGGAGCCTTCGGTGGAGCTCCCTATGGGGCCGCGAAGCGCTGTCCTGGGTGGGGGGCGACGCATGCGGACCTTCGGTGGAGCTTCCTATGGGGCCACGAAGCGCTGTCCTGGGTGGCGTTGACGCATGCGGCCTGTGCCACTGGAGCCTTCGGTGGGGTTCCCTATGGGGCCACGAAACGCTGTCCTGGGTGGCGTTGACGCATGCGGCCTGTGCCACTGGAGCCTTCGGTGGAGCTCCCTATGGGGCCACGAAGCGCTGTCCTGGGTGGCGCTGACGCATGCGGACCCTGCCACTGGAGCCTTCGGTGGAGCTCCCTATGGGGCCACGAAGCGCTGTCCTGGGTGGCGTTGACGCATGCGGACCCTGCCAGTGGAGCCTTCGGTGGAGCTCCCTATGGGGCCGCGAAGCGCTTTCCTGGGTGGGGGGCGACGCATGCGGACCTTCGGTGGAGCTCCCTAGGGGGCCACGAAGCGCTGTCCTGGGTGGCGTTGACGCATGCGGCCTGTGCCACTGGAGCCTTCGGTGGAGCTCCCTATGGGGCCACGAAAACGTGCGAGGGGTGTGCCAACATGGTGGACATGCGGAGAGAAGAGGCAAGGAGGGGAAGGAGGGGGGAGGGGACAGCGGGAGTAGGACGAGGAGGAGGAGGAGGAGGAGGAAGAGGAGGAGGAGTGACGCGGGGCGCTGTCTCTTCAAAACGAGGGCCCAACACCACTGGATGGTTGGGAAAACAACACACACACACGCAGTAGAACAAAACAGGCGGAAAGAGTGATTGTGTGTGTGTGGCGGCTGCATGTTTCGCCTGGATTTGCAATCTTCTTCACCCCACCCATCGCTGTGCCTTCGACAATGCTCGATCGCAATTGGCACCTCCATCTGCCGTCGGCGCCTGAGGATCCTCTGCGCCGCCGGCTTAAAACGTTTTGTGTATATGTGTTTCGTGTGTGTGTGTGTGTTTCCACAGAGTGTATGTTTGTCCCAGTGTGTGTGTGTGTGTGTGTGTGTGTGTGTGTGTGTTTGCGTGCGTGCGTGCGTGCGTGCGTGCGTGCGTGCGTGCTTGTGTGTGTGCTTGCTTTGTTCGACAAATGTTGTAATCTTTCCCACAGAAGGGATCCAATGGCAGATTTACTTTGTTTGAGGCACCTCGTCCTTAGGGCCTCGTTCTTTAGGACCCCATCTTTGAACCACCGATCGGCTGCCTCCGCGCTCGGCCCCGGCGCGTCGCCCGCGGCCGGCGCCTCGGCCTCGGCCGCCTCCGCGCTCGGCGCCGACGCGTCGCCCGCGGCTGGCGCGCGGCTGCTGCGCCTGCCCCGCTTGGCGGGCGGCGGGGCGGGCTCCTCGCCACCCGCCTCGGTCGCCGCAGGCTCGCCGGCGCCGGCGGCGGCCTCGAGACGCAGGGAGACCGGCCACACGCCAGAGGGGCCCTGTAGGCAAGAGTGGCCTTTGGTGCGCGGCCTGACGGTGCCGCGGAGGGCCCAAAGCCAAGCGCGTGGGCCCGCACCAAGGGTCAACTTGGCGAAGATGTCGCTCTTGCGCGTGGCCCATGAAAGCGGAGAGGGGACAAAAAGGGAGGGGGGGGGGGGGGGCACTGCGGGGCGGAGGGACGGGCAGCTGGCGCCCGTGGATGCCTCCCCCGGGCCAGCCTCTCATAGAGCTTTGCTGCGTCGGGGGGCGATACGTGGGGGGGGGGCGGAGAAGCATGCACCTTTCGTGCCCCTTTTGGACCCCATGAGGCCCCTAAAGTGCACTGTCTCTCCCCCCCCAAATTATCGCCCCCGATTGCGCAACGCCCGTTGTCGTCTCGCGAGCCGCTCTCCGGGCAGGGCCCCGCAGGAGAAGGACTGCCCGGTGCTTTAGCCAAAATAGAATGCGAGGGATCCGTTTGACGGGCTACGCGCCAGAGTGACCTTTGGTGCGCGACTGCGCGACGGGCGCGTAGGGTTCGCCCTCCCTCGCCCCCAGAAAGCCGCGCACCAGAGATCACTGCGGCGAAGGGCCACTCTTACGTGTAGCCGATCAGACAATCCGACGTAGAGCATTCTGCACAGCGTAAACACCCAAAGGTTTATAGACCACTTCACCAGAGCCGGTTTCGCATCCGGGATGCTTCTTGACGGCCTATAGGGCCCCGCGAGGGTCCCCAGAGGCCGAAAACGAAGCGAGCATGTCTGGATCCTCTTCTCTTGCTGGCGGGGGGCATCGGGCCCCTATCGGCGATTGGTGGCCGAGAGGGGTACTCAGCTTCTCCCCAGACCTGTTGCCGTATCGTTGCCCTGGGCCCCATTCTCTTCTCTCTCGCTGATCTGGGGCGTTCGTTCCACAGCAGAGACGCCCCACCCACCCTCAGCCCCCATCCATGGGACCTCCCGATAATACCGTAGCCAACGTCCGCCGCCATCGCCAAAGTCCACGAGCATCGCAAGCTCACGCAGAAGGACGGCGGGAAGGGAGGGGAAGAGGGAAGGGAGACGCGCTGGCGCGCCACTCTGCGCACGAGGCCGGATGCAAACACCCCCAAAGCAAGGGGGCTGCTATCAAGGCTGGCGGGAGACGTGTCCGCCGAGTGCTCCCGTAACTTGGGGGCGCGATCTGTTTGTTACTGCTAATTTCACCCTCCTGTGATCATTCGGCGACACATTGAGCACAGCGCGCCAACCGGGAGGAAAAGGTGCCGGCGCCGCGCTCGAGAGAAGGGGCCAGGGCGCTGCGCTGGAGGGGCCTCGGCGGCGCGGGAGGCCAGGGCAGCGACTGCCGGACAGATGCACCCCGGGATTGCTGCAGTCATCGCGCCGTCGGCGTTCCTGGCCCTCCTCCTCCTCCTCCTCCTCCTCCTCCTCCTCCTCGTCCTCCTCCTCCTCCTCCTCCCCCGGACGAAGGAGGCGTTTCTGGCCACGGCGGGCCCAGGCCACAAGCACGCCCCGCGACACAGATCCCAGGACCGGCGCGAGAGCCCGAGCCCCTCCTGAGCCCGAAGCGGTCTTCCTTTCAGCGTCTTTTGGGCGCCCGAGTTATCCGGGGTAACTCGGGTACGGGGTAACTCGGGTTTGGATTCCCGAAAAAGGAACCCGAGTTAGCCCTGACCCGAGTTACCCCTGATGATTCGGGGCTCTGAGTCTTGGCTACATTCTGTGGTCCTCGTTTCTGATTCCTGCCGACACTCCCAGCACTATATTGTCGCCGTGCACGTTTATTGCGCGCTCTGCTTCAGGACTGGGCCTCCCCATGGGTGCGGTCTGGCCAGAATCTCGATGCGGATCAAGGCCGTGGCGACGAGGAAGCTCCGGGAGGCCGAAGCACGCCCCCAAGACCTCGATCCTCGAAGCTCCGCCCTCGACCCTCGAAGCTTCGCGTTCTGCTGCGGGACCTGCCCTGAGCCGATCGGGCGTTGCGTTGCGTTGCCTTGCTAGGGGGCAAACAAACCTACCTCGCTTTTGACCACCCTCGCTCCCAAGAGATACCGAGCGATGCCAAACTGCGGCCTGCACCGGTCAGGCCGCTTGACGAGGAGGCGCGCGGCATGACTTGGTTCTGCCTGGAAGCGACACCCAGACCCCCGACGTCATGATTTTTTCATTACGTCGACCCCTGAAGGTCCCGACCCTTTCCCTATGACCGGCTTTGCATCCTGAGTCGTTTTTTGACGCTCCCGAGGCCCGGTGAGGGCCCCCGGAGGCCGAAAATTAGGAAAAACCTCCCGTCGTGATTTTTTCATTACTCGAGGGGGTCTGGGCAGCGGGGTAGGCAATCCACGCGCTGCGCCCTGCGCTGCGCCCGCTGCTCTCTGGAGCCCGGCGCGCCTCCGCGGTGGCCGCCCCCTCGGCGCCGCGCTCGCCGTCGTCGGCTGCGGGCGCGCCCTCCTCCTGCTCGGCGTCCGCCTCGCCGGCCTCCTCCTCGCCCTCCTCGTCCTCCTCGTCCTCCCCGGCGGCCGGCCGCAGCCGAGGATCCAGACGAAAGGATCCGGACGAGGATCCAGCCGGGGGTCGGGGCGAGGATCCGGCCGCGGATCCAGGCGAGGATCCCCGAGCAAACATGAACCCGGCGCGACCCCAGTCAGGGGGCGCAGTGCTTGACATTGCGTGGCATTGCTTGGCGTTGCTTGGCGTTGCTTGGCAGTGCTTGGCAGTGTTTGGCGTTGCTTGGCAATGCTTGGTATTGCTTGGCCATGCTTGGCACAATAAGGATACGAAATGCCGGGGGCGGGGAACCTGGGGAACCCGGGGAACCCGAGGAACCTAGGGAACCCGGGGAACCCAAGGATCCCGAGGAACCCGGGGAACCCGAGGAACCCTCTGGCAACGGGCAACGTAACAATAGGAGGCACGGGGGGCGAGGAACGGGCAAAACAACAATAGGAGGCACCGACCGTTAACCAAGCAAGAACCCCTTGGCAAGCCTACTTGGGGACAAAAGCCTCTCCGACGAGATGATCTCCGACGATGCGGCCATCGTGCGCGGAGCCACGGCGAGCCTCTGCCACGAAAGCGAGCCTCGGCCACGAAAGCGAGCCTCTGCCACGAAAGCGAGCCTCGGCCACGAAAGCGGTCCCCCGACCTAGACCGAAGGAGCGGCGCGAAAACCAGCCACTCCTGAGCCCGAAGCGGTCGTTCTCTCAGCGCCTTGACTGCATGCGATGTGTGCACTCCCGGTGATCTTCCTCGACTTCGGGCTCCTTGAGGCCTGCTGTCGGGCCCTGGGGCTATCAAAATGGGCTCCAGGGCGAGAAGCTGGCCCCAAGGAGGAGAACGGGACCTCTGGGGCCGCGCACGACACAGCAACCGGAGCGGCGGATGTCTGGGACTGCGGGGGGCTGCCAGACGAAGAAGCACAAACGCACGATCATAAAAACTTTCGGAGGTCCGCCCAGATGCTTGGATCGGCACTGGACTCCCTGGAGGCGCCTCCAGGGAGGGGGGTTCAGCGCCGATCCAAGATATCCGCGGCTCAGTTGCGCTCAAGCCCTGACGGAGGCATGAACGGAGTGCAGCCGCCTCGGCTGACGCATGCGCGCCCCAAATAAGGAAGGGACTCCTAGCTGTGCCAGATGGAAGAATTTAAAGCCAGGCGACCTGCTGTTCCACAAATGATGGCTACATGATCCGCGCGGACCTCCGAAAGTGCGCGATCGTGCCGTGTTTCCTCTTCTTCGAGCTGCGGAACCTTGCCCGCCCGGGGCGAATCCCATCGTGCCGGCGAGCTGTCGAGTGGAGTGCCGGTGCCGATCGGCCGCCCCAGGAGGGTGTAAGGACCACAGCTCCCCCCGCTGTGGCTGGTCCGCTCCTCGTCGTCCGAGTCGACGTCGAACTCGGCCTCCAGGTCCTCGTCGTCTTCCTCCTCCAGCGGGGCCCAAACAGCGGCGCACAGAACCGCTCGCAGGCCCGCGCGGCCTGCTCGATCCAGCGCTGCACCGCCCTTCCCCACACCCCATTCCCCGGGCCCGCAGCGCGCCGGGGGGCGCCGCCATGATGGGGGACATGGGGTGTGACGGGGAGGAGGGTCCAACGCCGACCTCTGGCAGTCCGCGCGGACCTCCGGAAACTTAGGCTGGGCATCGCTCGGACGTCCATTCCTTGTGTTTTTTTCTGTTTCGTGCGTGGTTTTTTCGCCAAATGATCAAGGATGCTCCTCGATGGTCCTCGCCGAAGGAAAAATGCACACGTCCGAGCGATGCCAAGTAGGTGTGCCCACGCGCTGTCTTGGGGCACCCGATCCTCCTCGTCCTCCGCAGCCTGCTCCACCGGCTCGCCCTCGGCCTCCCGCTCCCGCGCGGCCTCCTGCGCCGCTTGCTCCGCGGCGGCTGCGCCCCTGCCGCCGCGGCCCTTCGGTGCCATCTTGTGGCTCGCGGCTGGCGGGCTGGACCTGGAGCCCCCCGAACTCGTGGAGCAAAGAGCGGCGTGGGCATCGGCTCCTTACCAGCCTGGGACATATACCTATCCCTATGCTGGGCATCTCCTCATCACGATGCCAATCTTGGGGATTCCCCTTATTTTTGGGGGGCGAAGCCCTGAGACTGTCGTCGCCTTCTGGCGCGTCAATCTTAGGGATAGGGATACGTTCGAGGCCGGTAAGCTCCTGGAGGTCCGCGCGGATCGCTCGGAGGCATCGGCGCTGGGGCCCCCCCCCTCGGCGCGCGGAGCCGTGCCACGGGGCGGCGCCGGAGGCGCCGCCAGGGGGGCCCCAGCGCCCATCCAGCAAGTCCGCGCGGGCCTCCGAGAAGCCGTATATACGGTCGGCCCGTATGGGAAGGACGCGCGATGAGGCCGCAAGGGCCTTGGACGCCCCTTCCGAAGCTTCTCGAGCGGGGCGCGGCCGACGAAAGTGGCGGAGGGTGGACCGAGGAGGCTGGGATGCCAGGGTACCCTTGGGAAGATTGCTTGTCCTTGCCACGCGGGTCGGCTGTCCGCCATGATTTGTTCCTCGACGAACCCCAGACTCGTGCCAGTCTTGCACGGCGGCGCGCGCAGGCGAGATGGGGCGAGAGGTGTGGCCCTCCGAGAGGGCAGAGAGCTGCTTCCAGGGGCTCGGGGGGGCCTCCAGGAGGGCGTCTCGAGGTGCTACACCCCTCGCGGCATCCCCCCCGTTCTGCGCGCCGCCGTCTTGTGCAAGGGTGCCCGGGCCCAAATTACTTCAGCCAGAATGGCTGTTGAGGCGGAGGACGAGGAGGACGAGTGGATCGAAGTCCGCAAGACGAGTTCAGAAAAGCTACGCTTCAGCCTGCCACGGGCAGAACATCTGTGCTGGATTGACAGCGTGGACCCCAAACAATGCGAGTTATTGCAATCTGGATGTGGACAATGTGTGGTGTAATATGTGCTGCGAAGGACATGCGGTGCAACCCATGTGGCGTAAGATAGGTGGAAACTAGGTTGTGATTTGTATGCGCAGCGAGCTATTTCTTTCCACAGGCAGCTACCAACGATGAATACGACGAGGTGGTGTGAGACACCAGGTGTTACCTATGTGGTGCAAGCTAGGTGGATTGAGACATGCAATAAAAAAAGCCACGTAAGGTGAGCCATGTGGTGCAAGCTAGGTGGTGTACCCTGGGTGGCGCAAGCTGGGAGTTCTACGCAGTGTGATGCTAGCTGTGTGACGGGAACTACCTGGGATGTGTGGTGGAAGCTGCACGAGGCGCCCACGGGCGGCCATGTGCCAGATCCCAACAACCGCACGGGGCGCCCGCCGGCGTCCACGGGCGGCAGCGTGGCGAATCCCCGACCCACCGAGCCAGCGCACGTGGCGCCCACGAGGCGCCCACGGGCGGCCACGTGGCGAAACCCCGACCCAGCCAGCCAGCGGGGCGCTCACGAGACGCATGCTTGCGGAAACATGGCGAAGGCCCGACGGACCCAATCAATGCTACAGTACTCAGAACGGCAAGCCAGAACCCCCAAGTGCAAGCACTGCCTCGGGAGGACTTCCACCTCGGGGGCCAGAACCACCGACGTTGTGCTCCCCTTCGGGCCCAAAGCCTCTGGATGTCTCGGCCCCGTCCCTGGGACCGGCTTTCCATCCTGAGCCGTCTTTTGACGACTCCCGTGCCCAGTATAGGCCCCAGAGGCCAAAATCTGCCCTCGAAGCCGTCCGCCTTCTTGTCACGACCGTCGACGTTGTACTCACAACATTCGTTGTTTCCGACCGTCGACGCGGGTGTTAACGTCACGGCATCCATCCGTGCTCCCGCTCCTCTTCCTCCTCATCATCAGCAGCATCGTCTTCGTCGTCGTCCTCCTAGTTCTTCTCCTCATCACCCTCATCGTTGTCGTCCTCCTCCTCCTTCTACTCCTCATCCACTTCGTCCTTCGCTGTGAGCGCATCGTTGACACATCCAGCCCAGCGGGTGGCAAGGGCGCGCAGACAGGGCCGCAGAAGGAAAGGCGCACAAGGGCCTTGGGCGCCACGAACAGCTCCTTGCCGGTCACGGAGTCGTAGAACGTGGTCACGAGCTGGTCCTTCGCACGCCCCCACTGCCCTTTCTCGCCGGTTCCTCCCTCTCTCTTTCTCTCTTTCCCCCTCGTTCCCCCTCTCTCTCCCTTTCCCTCTCCATCCCCAGGTATCCCTATATTTCCTTCTCTCTCCCTCTCCTTCTCCCTCTCCCTCTCCCTCTCTTTCACTCCTTCTTTGTTGATAATTCTCAATGTTTCTCTCTTCCTCTTTTTCTGTGACTCCCGCGCTCTCTGTCTCTGTCTCTGTCTCTCTCTCTCTCTCTTTATCTCACCTCTGTAGAACGAACAAACCTCGAGAGGTAAAACCTCCAAGCAGCATGACGAGGTGGAGGAGGACGGGATGGAGGAATATGGGGACGAGGAAGTGCCTGGAAGTCATGCAGTCCATAACCACCTGAGCCTCCGCATCCTCATCCTTCATCCCGCGTCCTCCGTCCCAGGCCCCTGACCGCGTGATTTCTCACCGCGTGTACCCCGGGAGGTCTGGAGCCCTTCCCCTAGACCCGTCTTCCATCCCTTCGGCGCCCAGGGGCCCGGCAAGGCCGGGGGGACGCAACGGTGGGGTTCATGGCGCAAAAGTGGGCTTAGAGGCACGTCGCTGTGAACGGCCCCCAGAAGGACATGTAAGCATCCAGCTAGGTTCGTTCCCTAAACCCACCTTGGAAGACGGTCGGGAACTTTTGCGTAGCGTGTCGTCTCGGCCCTCCTCTTCTCCTTCTCCTTCTCCTCCTCCTCCTCCTCCTCCTTCTCCTCCTCCTACCATTATCCCCTCGTCGTCGTCATCGTCTTCCTCCTCGTCCTCCTCCTCCTCCTCCTCCTCATCTCTCTTCTGCTCTCCACCTCCTCGTCCTCTTCCTCCTCTCTCCTCGTCCTCCTCGTGCTCCTCCAACTCCCCCCTTTCGTCCTCTTCCTCCTCCTCCTCCTCCTCCTCCTCTCCTCCTCCTCCTCTTTCCTCCTCCTCCTCGTCTACCTCCTCCTCCTCCTCCTCCTCCTCCTCCTCCTCCTCCTCCTCCTCCTCCTCCTCCTCCTCCTCTCCTCCTCCTCCTCCTCCTCCTCCTCCCTCCTCCTCCCCCCCCCCTCCTCCTTCTCCACTTCCTCCTCCTCCTCCCTCCCCTCGTCCTCCATCTCCTCCGCAGCCTGTTGGCTCAAGCACAAGCGAATTCAAGGCACGTCCATAGCCATATAATTTGGTTCAGAACGGGCACGTAGCCACCATCAGCGTCTAATCGCAGACGCGTTCGTGGCATCCTGTTGTTCCGAACAATTTCATCGTTTTCGAGTCTTTACCGCAGTTCACACGTTGGCGAAGACCGAATGTAATTCACGAGTTCTGTATACGTGCGAAAGCAATGTGTTTCTCCTTCGTCGACATCTTCGGCGCGGCCCACCCCGAGGGTGGAACGCGTGGGGTGCCAACGGGCTCTCCTATGTAAAAGCCTCCCCCCACCCGTGGGTGTGCTTCCATGGTGGTGCTCTAGGGGAGGATTGAATCGTTTACGATGGTCGGTTCGCAGCTTAGCATCGCCGCTTTTCATGTCGCAGTCGTTCGGTGTGGCATTTGTGGTGGTGCACCATGAACACTTGTCCTTGTGCAGGCGGCGGCCGTTACATTCCCTGCGAGGCCTGGATTGGGCGGCTGTGGTGAAGCTACTTAGCGCCCGTGGTGGGTGGACTGTGGCTCGGCCGTAAGGCTCGGGTGGATGCTGCCTAACCCTTCGCCCAACCGTTCCTTTCCAGCGGCGTCAGAAAACATTTCTCGTATGCTCGGGTCGGCCTGCGCACTCTACGGTACAACTCCGCGCGTGGCCAATATGCATCCTTCAAGCACACATGACTTCCGGCCGTAAGAATGTAGCGTCGGTTGGTGGGCAATGCCAGCACGCCTTTCAATGGTCATGCTTGGTTTATGAAACAACGGCGAACGCATGGTGGGTGTTCTTGTCGCGGGGACACGGATTCGAGGCAAGGGTGAAACATCCATGACTACTTCGTTGTGTCCGGCTTCAAGGAAGGCAGACGGGTGCCGCAGGTGGGCTTCATTCGAATCGCGACTCTGTGATGGGTTCCGCTCCAGTCCACACCCCTCCCCGCCCCCTCCTCCTCCTCCTCCTCCTCCTCCTCCTCCTCCTCCTCCTCCTCATCCTCGCACGTGGCCGCGGCGCGCTTGGTCGTCGGAGTCCATCGAGCGCCCGCCGACCCGCCGGAATTATGATCCAGACTTTCTCGTCAGGAATCGGGCGGCAGCGCTCGGCGTGGAAATGGGTGGACAGGAATGCGGAACAGGCGGGAACGCGCAAATGGGAACGAGGGGGGGCGGCAAGACCAACGCGTCCCGAGGGAACGGTGGCCAAGAAGACGTGGACATCAAGATGAAACATGCGTGCAAGACGGCTGGCAAAACGAGGGCACGTCCAGAGATAAGCCAAATCATCAAGCCCACGAGGAACGCCTAGCACGCAGCGCGTCCAATCTTCAACCCTTGCGTCGGTAGCCCCTCGGCCCATGGACACCTCCAAAACGGCCACGGGAACACAACGCCGAAGACTTCACAAACTCAGAACGCAACTCGCCCTGGAGGAGACCACGAGCATCAGGAAATGAGGCGGGCACCCCCTGGGCCAACAGGGAGGCGAACACCTCTGCGAGGCAAGTTGGGCGCAAATATTCCGCTACCTTTCTTTTGAGCATGCGTTGGATTTGAACTTCGCAGGCTCGGTTGCATCGACGAGGGCCGACCCGAAAGACTTCCCCGCGCTGCGGGCCGCCGCAGACACTCGCGCGTGAGACCGACGGTTGGACGTCGGCAGCAGAGCGCCGAGAGGACGAGGGAGAGCAGCGTCGGTAGCAAAACTAAACTCACAGAGCGGAGGGGGGTGACAGAAGGAGGGGGACAGAGCGCGGATGCGAATGCGGCAGGCGATGGGCAGAGCGTTGTCGGCCTTGCTCAGGACAGTGGGCAAAACGCCGCGCCCCGAAGAGAGGTGCAAGCGACATGCTCGGATCAGAACCGCACTGCCCCGCGCTGGGGGTTCCACAATTTGGAGCCCTGAACCATCTCGAGAACAACGCTGGCCCCTGACGGGCAACCTCAATCGAGAGCGGCAGAAACTGCGCGAGGTAGGGAAGAACAGACGCAACTCAACTCTCGTCGTTGTGAGCGGCAACGGAAAATGGCGCACCCCGACCGGGAAGTCTCGATCCGCGGTCCTGTCACTGCAGCAGAAGAGGCCGCCCCAAGTGGGTCGATCGCAAGCCAGCGCAAGTGGCCGCGAGCTCAGATGGGGGAGTAGCTGTCGGCCAAGGGGAACGATCTTGCACTTTGGGCCCTCGCGGTGCAGAGCCGACACCCCGGCAACCGCGCGAAAGATTTTGCGGAGAACGCGAAGGCGTTCGCCTTCCAGGGGCGCGGCATCGACATCGCAAGCACGCGCCCGAGCCGAGCCAGCATTGTCGCGAATCGCCGAGGCATCCATGCCTTGCAGTGGCGAGAGCACACTGCTATTCCAGAGGAGGGGCGCCCCTGCGCGACGCCGCAGAGCTGGTTGGAATGATGGACTTGAGAACGGTTTATCAGGTCTCGCGATTTGGGAGACACTATAATGGGGATAGACGGATACGCGCGGACATTTCCAACGCCGCCATCGGCTCACATTGATCCGCCCGCCTGCGCCAGCTCTGATTTCGGACTGGCCTCCCCCGGCCTGCGCCATCAGTGGCAGCGTCGAGCGCTCGGCCCCGCGCTCTTCCCCGGCCATCTCAGACGCCCAGCGTGGCTGATATGCTAGTTCTTCTTGTGCGGCGGCGCATTCATGAGTGCGCGGCGTTAACTGACATGTCGGGCAAGGTCTTTCTCTGGCGACAGGTACGAGACGGCGGCGATACATTGATCGTCACTGTTTCGGAGCCCAAGAGGCAACCAGCCGCTCGCTTCACGCGCGCACTTGTTCTGAGGCTCCCCCCCCCCGTCGCCATTGGCGATTCAAGCCGCCGAGGCACCGCTGAGGGCCCCATGCGCGGGGCGCCCAGCAAAGGCCGAGTAGGGGGCCGCGAAGCGCACCTCGCGCGCGCGCGGCCCAAGCCGGCAAGCGCTGCAGGGGGGAGGGGGGGGGTGCGCGCCCGGTCCTGGAGCAGAGTCAGACAGACGAGCCATATGCATGGACGCGTTGCGAGGTCGAGGAAAAGGAGGGCCCCGAAGGGCAGGCCCTTCGATCGCATCAGCCGGCTCGCGCATGAAACCCTCTCTGCAGTGACGAGCGACGGCATTTTGCGCTTTGGTCTGCGCCGCGGGGGCTCGGCGCCCGGAGGAGGAGGAGGAGGAGGAGGAGGAGGAGGAGGAGGAGGAGGAGGAGGAGGAGGAGGAGGAGAGGGAGGAGGAGGAGGGAGGAGGAGGAGGAGGAGGAGGAGGAGGAGGAGGAGGAGGAGGAGGAGGAGTCCTGCCCCCCACGAATTGGAAGCGGCCGGGGGGCGGGGCCCGCGGCCGGCGGCGACGGGCCCGTCGGCTGGGAGGCGGCGCCCGTCGGCGCGCGAAAGGCCGACCTGGCGGCGGCGCGCCGGTCGCGCCGGCCCGCGCTCTCACCCGGCACCCCGCCGCCGAAGAGCGCCCAGCGCGCCCGAGGACGTCGGGGGGTCGGTCAGGGAAACTCGGGCCGCGAGAGGGTCGACGCCCAGGAGCTCTTGGGCCAGGGAGCACTTTCCCGCGGGCGATGCGCCCTCGCGCGAATCCGGCGAGCGAGCGCAACGTCGTCTCTTCACGCGGCGCGGCCAATGGGCCGAAGTAAAAGCACGTTGGCCACGGGGTCCGGCGGGGCCCTCCAGGAAAAGGGCGCGTCTCGCTTGTCGAGCCCCCTCTTTCAAAACCTACTTGTCGGACGTCGACTTCTGAGGCGGATGAAAATGCGAAACGTCGCGCCGCCCTGTCAGGCCAACGGCTAATCTTTTTGGAGAGCTGAAAGAAGTTCTCGGCAATCAGTTGACCACCCTCGGCAGGGGTGGGCGCGATGCCGAAGATGTGCCCCTGGTGCAGGGCGGGCGTGTATCACCTGCTTTCCCGGCGCCTCTGGCGCGCCAACTACTCACACTTCTACATGTTGGCGCGTGACACAATGGCTTGGCAGTTTGGCAAGTGTGCGATCTATCTCGGAGGCGTGTTGTTCAACTCCATTCTCGCGCGTAAGCTCGATGCCATCCATCTCCGATGGAGCGGATAATGCACCTTGTCGCGCAGACGCGCGCCGCCGCCTCAGCTCCTGCAGGGCAGCGGCGGGCCCCAGCTGAAAGGGCGGCGCGCGCTGCCGTGGAGGCCCCGAGCAGAGCTTTTTTAATCGCCAGCAAACGCACGGACGCACCGACCAGGGGCTTGGCGACCGAAGATTTTTTCCATTCCCCAATGCTCCCATCGCCATCCCGGAAGCGAGAATTGCGGCCATGGACACTGTGGGAAACGAAGAAGCGATGGGAAACCAAAGACACCATATGTATGACCCAGACCTAGCAGACAGCGCGCACCGTTCCCAGAAATCAGGATCCGGTATTCGCACTTAGCCAGCATAAGGAAACCATATTCATGAGTGAAAGCGGGAAAGATAATGGCAACTCCACCTCGACCGCGCAACTCCGAGACGGAGGCCCTGCCCAAAACGATAAATGAAACGCAGAAAGCGAAAGTCGGACAGGTCGTAGATGCCGCCATGAGTCCCCTGCAAGACGCAATGACAGAAGTAGGTCAGGAGGTTGGAGGTAATTTCGCGCCTCTGGTCCCAACGAGAAATTTGGCAACGCAGCAGAAGGGATATGTTTGTATGAGTTTCCAGATCCATGTGTCTGGCGTTTTCAAACCACCGCATGGCACTGTTTAAAGCTACCACATCCTTAGTTCCTTCTTCCTGTGCAGAGTTCATTCCCCATTGTTTTGCCCTGCGCTCTGCGCGCGGAGCGGGGCGGACAGGAGGCGTCAAGAACGGAAGAGCGGGAGCAAAGACGGCTGTGAAGACAAGGGGCCGCCGTTGACAAGAAAGCAAAGACACGCCAAACGCACGGAGACCCACAGCGACGAGCCTGAACGCACAAAATACAGAAACTTATAAGGAGCCAAAAACAAGCGACGTTGCTTGTATGTTTGTCTCTTGTGCTGCTTTGTTAGCTTGTCAAGAGCCCAGAATGCAAAGCTGCAAAAAAAAAGCCAAAGGCGTCGCTGCGAGAACTTGAAGTAGAACTTCGACTAGCGCGTGCGAGTGCGAGGGTCGTGGCGAAAGAGGGCCGGATCATTCCAAGTGCATCGACCAACAGAAACACCTGGCCGCAAGCTGCGCCGCTCTGGGGGCGCGGGATAGGCTGCTAAAGATCACAAGTGGCAGAGGCTCTTGAAAGCGTCTCGCAGGTCCTGCTCGCTCGCGTTGTTGTCGATGTTGAGAGCGCACAGCTTTTTGCCACCCCACTCCATGATAAATGGAGGATTGTCGTGCTTCGGGTCGAGCTTGACGAACGCTCTCCTTTGCGAGGATACCACTTCCGTGTGCTGATCAACGAAGAGGCGAATTTGCGTGTACACCTCGGCATTGATCCTGTGGCACGTTGTAGTGCAGAGATCATGTTTGTTCTTCCTCGGGTTCTTGTGCAGGGATCTGACCAGCTCGTTGTGGAGGTTGTTCCCGCAAGCTTGGGCGTTAAAAGGACGGTAGGATGCATCGAGATTACGAAGTGCGCCGAAACCTGGCGGGTACGATGGCAGCCCAGCCAGCAGCGCCACGGCATTTGATGACGAAGCGTTTGCTCGCTGGTTCCCCTTGAAGCCTTGAAGGCGGAATAGACGAGATTACACGGTCACGCGGCGCATGTGCGGGCACCCGACGACGATGATCGTGGGGACCACGTCGCGGTTGAACTCGCGGCTGGCGGTGGTCTCGACGGCACTGTCGACTGTCTGCGCGGCGACGGTGTCAACACGGGCCTTGAGGGTGTCGAGCTGTGCCTGCAAGCGGGCGATGTTCGTGTGATTGCTATCCAGGCGCAGCTCCAGCGAGGCGAAGCGGTCCAGGAAAACCTTGTCGAACGCCGCGTAGTGGCAGTTACCTGTGTGGTTGAGCCTGGCGATGGCGACCTGCATGGCCGCCATGGCCTCGCACATCTCGTTCTGTGCTGCCAAAGTGACTATAAAGCACGTCAGCATCAGCATGAATAACAGGGCGTGGGCTGCATGCTCAGGCCGCAAATGCCTTGAGCCAAAGTGGCTTCAACCAAAAGGCCTTTTCCTCCTCCTCCTCCTCCTCCATCTCCTCCGCCCTCTCCTCCTCCTCCTCCTGCTCTTCCTCCTCCTTCTTCTCCTACTCCTCCTCCTCCTCCTCCTCCGCCCTGTCCTCCTCCGCCTCCGCCTCCGCCTCATCCTGCTCCTCCGCATCCTCCTCCTCCTCCTCCTCCTCCCCTCCCTCCTCCTTTTCTCCTCCTCCTCCTCCTCCTCCTCCTCCTCCTCCACCCCCCTCACTCGTCCCTCCTTCTCCTCTTCCACCTCCTCCTCCCTCTTCCTCCTCTTCCTGGTCCTCGCCCTCCTCGACCTCCTCATCCTCCTCATCCTCCTTCTCCTCCTACTCTTCCTCCTCCTCCTCCTCCTCTTCCTCCTCCTCCACTTCCCCCTCGAAAACGTCCCAGAGGTTCCGAGCGCAGTCGGAAACCGTCCAGACCGTGCCAGGACCCTCCGGGAGCCCACAACGACCCCACCACATCCAATTCCCGCCCCCCCCTCGCGCCAGCTCGCACGGCCCCCGTCCGGCGCGTTTTCTTCGCCCCGTCCCGGCCCGCCCTCGTCGAGCGCGTCTCCCTTGCCCCATCTCGCCGCGGCTCCCCGTTGTTGTCTTTGTCTCTGGCCTCCAGCCTCTTCCTGAGATCGGGAAGGAAACTCCTCGCGTCGATGCCGCAGCAAGGGAGGAACGACAAAAAGAGGGCTGTGAAGAGAAACGGGTGAAGTAGGAAGAGAACGTGCAAGACAATCGAAACAACAAAGAAGATGAGCAAGAGCGGAGGAGAGCGGACCAGGTCAGAGCGGACCAGGTCACGGCAGAGCGAGCTCACAAAGCTGAGAACAATCCGTGCCGATCACGCCGATGGAGAAGGCCTGCCGCGTTATGGACATCTGCGCGCCTTCAGCCTCACATCGCTCTCGAAACATCGGTCGCCCACGCTAGCGGCTCTTAGCAAGCTCCTGCCTTCTCCAGCAGGGATAAAAGTTTCGGCTGCGCACACAGGGGGGTTAGGGGGAAGAGGAGGGGGGAAGGCTTCTTGGAATGAGGCTGCTTCTTAAAAGGCGCTGGCCCTACATCTATAGATAAGGCCCACGCCTTCTAGGAAGCAGGGGTGCTTCCAAGAAGCCTTCCCTCCTCCCCCCTGCCCCCCTCGGCGCGTGGCCGAAGCCTATCACACTCGCGCGACTCACCCACTCGCCACCCACGACAAAGCGGCTGGACACACCCACGGCTGGACTCCCGCGGAACACTCTGGGGCCACGCGCCAGATGCACCCGCGGAGGGCTGGCGCATCCTGCCACAGCGAGCCAAGCGCTGGACAGACATGCGGCCACCCGTGCGTGTGCATATCCGGCTCTCGCCCAGGCGGGGCGCGTCATGCGCATCCAGCTTCTTCTTGTTCCACGGCGAGAAGGCATGGGAGGAGGAGAAGCAGCCTGCCCCTCAAGAGGGTAGGCTGCGAAATCGAAATCGCCCTGCCGTCGATTTCGCACATCCCGAGTGAAATCGACGGCAGGGCGATGGAAGCAAACACCTGGAAGAGCCTGGGGCTCGGGGGACTCGCGAAGCAGGAAACCAGAAGGCGACAGATACGAGTTTGCCCTCGAAACGTATCGGGCCACATGTGCATCCAGCTCCATGGTTGGGTTTCCTAGAAGCGGGTCCAACAGCGCCCGATCTTCGCGCAACCGCGGGTATCCCACGTCTTTGGCGCAGCCAGAACGTGCCGAAGCCGTCCGTTCTTTCCAGTAAGGGTGGCCCTGGTAGACCGCTTCACGCCACTGCGCTCGCTGGTGCCCTCCTTGATGACGTCTGTTTACATGCGTGCTGTTCTCAGGGTCATCGAATGCATTCCGAGATGGCAGTCTCCCGTTGAAAACTGCGTTCGCCTTCAAGCATGAAGATGATCCCGTGGAACACAGGGCGTTCGCCTGCTAGCAGCAGTTACAGACCTTTGCAAGACTCTGCGACATCACCCTCATCGCCTTCGGTGGTACGCCTTTGAGAAAACGGGGCACCCTTCAAAAAAGACGCTGCGTGGACGAGAGACCAGTTTAGTCGCCACTCCACTGCTCAAGCTGGCATTGACGCCACCTAGTCACCGTGGCATCACTCAGCAAGCGAAACATGATTGCATGATCGAAGCATGCAGCAGACACGCCCATGCCAAAGTGCCGCTGCCGCCAGCGACCTGATAGCGGACGAATCCACAGAACGCCCGACTGAAGGGCGCCACGTCCAGCCATGGCGACGAGGCGCTCCCCCCCACCCCCGAGGGGCCAGGCAAGGAAGTGAAGGCGGAAGATGAGCGGGAGGAGCTGGGTCTGAGGAGCATCGCGGTCGGGAGGCGCGAAGCCCACGCCGCAGAGCGGAGGCATGGATAGACGGTGGGCGCAGTCGCGGGAAACACGAAGCAGCGCAGCGAAGAGGGATGCACGCAGGTGCTGGGCGCTCCGACCCGGACTCCGAGGCAAGGGCAGCCACGGCGGCGAGGGCCCCTTTTCAATCTGCAGGGCCAGGAACGGCTAACAGACTTAGATGTTCCTCCCACCCCCTCCTCCATGTCGTCGTCGTCGTCGTAGTCGTCGTCGTCGTCGTCGTCGTGATCTTCCTCGTGATCTTCCTCGTGATCTTCCTCTTCGAAAAAGGTTCATGCCCTCCGTACTCTCCAGGGGCCCCAGAGGTCCAGTGGCCACCAACGGTCCGACAGAGGCCAACAACTACAAAAATGGTCGATCCTCTGCAATGCGATTCGATCCGTCAGTCCTCCTCGTCCTCCTCGTCGTCCTCCTCCTCCTCCTCCTCCTCCTCCTCCTCCTCCCCATCATCCCCCACTCCTCATCCTCACCCTCATCCTCATCTTCCTCTTCCTCCTCTTCCGCCTCACTTCTTTTCTCCTCCTCCTCCTCCTCCTCCTCCTCCTCACGCTTCCTGCTCCTCACTTCCCCTCCTCCTCCTCTTCCTCCTTCTCCTCCTCCTGCTTGGCCCGATCGTAGGTAGGGAGGCGGGGCTCGTTGTCTTCCAGTAGCCCGCGTACTCTGCGTACTCGCGGTTGAACGAGCACACCTCAGAGGCGCCCCCCCGATGCACGCTGACCCAAGCACTGCGAAAAGGGGGCCGGAGGGAGAGTCGGCGCGCAAGAAGGGAGCGGGTTCAGGGGGCTGCCAGGGGGCCAAATCCAGGCGCGCGGGCCAGTGCTGGGGGGACCCCTGCGGACCCACACCAAGGGCCACTCTAGCGAAGGGTCTTTCTCGGGGACGGACAGACCCCCCCTTAGTAAAACGTGGTTTAGCGAAAACGACCTCGGGCCCAAACCTGGCAGGCGCAAGCCTGGAAAATGACGGCCGCGGCGCCCTCTCGAGAACCGAGAACGGACAATTCACTCATCGACGTGTCAGGGTGGGGGCTCTGTCCGCCCCCGACTCTCTTACGCGAAGCCAAGAAGAGGGGCAGGTCTACAGTCGGGGCCTTGACCTAAGGAACCCTAAATAAGGAACGAGGCCCCCATTTTCCATAAGTTGAACTCCGATTTCATATCGGAAACCTCAGGAAAACCTGAGGCAAGCTGCGAAACAGTTAAGGAAGACGGAGCCCCTCCCCAACAAAAAGGGTTCCTTCTTCAGGGCCCCGACCGTATAGAACCAGAGAGCACTGCACACCCCTGCAAGCTGCTGGAGGCACGCGCGGGCCCCCGAGGGTGCATGCTCGTGCAGGGCGTCGTTCCTCGAGGGCTGGAGGGCGCGCTGCCCCTCCCGGTGGAGCTCGGTGGGCAGGAGCCAGCGGCGCGACACGCTGGGCAGACGCCCCGTGGTCGTCAAGAGGGGCACCCTCTTGCAGGGCGTCGTTCCTCGAGGGCTGGAGGACGCGCTGCCCCTCCCTGTGGAGCTCGGTGGGCAAGAGCCAGCGGCGCGACACGCTAGGCAGACGCCCCGTGGTCGTCAAGAGGGGCACCCTCCGGCCCGGACCTGGTCTCTGCGCGCGGCCAGACCCTGAGATCCGGGACGTGTATCTTGCTCGCACACACGCACACACATACACACACGCACACACACACACACACACGCACAAAGAAGCGTGTTCGCTTGGCTTCGGGCCCCGGGGCCCTCACACAACGATCTGGCTTGAGAGGTGCCGCAGAAAGACGGGATCAAGAGCTCTGGGCGTCATTTGTTGCATATATTTTCGCGACGTCGGGTCTCAGGGGGGAGAGGAGGCATCCTCCTCGTGCTTGTTGGAGGTCCATGCGCAGTATCGCGGACGCTTTCGCGTGGGTTTAGGCATGCTGCGCCAGCCTTGCTTTCCGAGCCTTGCCCGTTACAACATTTCATGTTCCATACCGCCTCCAAGAGGTGTTCAGTGACAAATCGCTGATCGTTGCTTCGAGGATGAAGCAAAGCAGCAACAACAAATGCGCGGCACCAGAACTGATGTGTAGCCTTCGGGTCACCGTGGCGAAGGCCTCCCGCGTCATGGACAAAAAGAGGACGGCGGATCTTCCACACCTTGGGGCTCTGAAGAGCCCCCCTCGGCTCCCAATATCTACGCACAAGATCCAACTCACGACACAATATCCATGCGAATACTGGGGTCGAGAGCCCTGGGACACCATGTAGAATTCGTATTGATCGCAATGAACTGCACGGACCAACTTCCGGAGGTCCGCGCGGAATTACTGGCTAGTCGCCGGAGCCCCTTACCTCCCGACACCTCTGGCGCCGCCCCTTCGGCGCCGCCACCTGGCGCGCTCCGCGAGCCAGAGAACGGAGAGGGAGGTCCAGCACCGAGTGCGCAGACTTCTGCTGCGTTGCCTTGAGATTGTCTATTCATCTTGGCTTGTCTTGAAGCTGCGCAACTGGCTGTCGGCGGCGCTGGCCGTGGCTTCGGTGCATGGCTTCCTGGGGGGGGAGTGGGCAGAGCGGTGCAGCCAGCCGCACGCAGTCGACCCGGTGTTGGGCCTCGTCGAGCAGAAGCGCCAGCTCTTCTGAGCGTGGCAGGGGCACTCTTGACTGCCTACCAGACCACCCCAACCCAACCCGAAGACCCGAATTTCGGGTTGGGGGGGGGTTAAGGGTTACACATGTGTTTTTTCGATGTTTCCCGACCCCCCCCCCCACTGGAAATCGAGGGTAAATCTAAACCTTCGGGTTGGGTTGGGGTGGTTTGGTGGGTGGTGAACTCTCTGCGCTGAGGAGTGGAGGCGCAAGGTCGTGCAACTTGTGGATTGCGCCTTCCGACGCCGCCCACGCGGCGAAACGCACGCCGTCGGGCCTATGGGCCGACACCTTGCTGCAATTTCACTTGGCCGCGTCGGAAGGTCTCCACTGCAGGTGCCCCGAAGCCAGCGAGCGTCCGATTGGGGGAAAGTCGACATCCGCCTTGTCCGTGAGGCGTGCTTCGAGGAAAGGGGTTTCCAAAAATTCCTGGTTGCGTGCGGATGATCCGGGCTGGCTCGTCGGAAGTGGTTACCTTGTCACGTAGCACCCAGTTGCTTCTGCCAACATGCAGCCAAACTGTACAATAAGGATGCGCGGTAAGGATGCAAGGGCCTCGGAAGGCCATGTCGACACTTTGTGAGCGGGGCGCGGCCAGCGAAAGCGGCCAAGGATGGGCCGAAGGGAAAGGATGCAAGGATAGGCCTTTGAAAGTCGTTCATCCTTACTCTGCGGCTTCACTGTACAGTCGGACCTAGCACATAACACCATCCTTCAAGAACATGAGACATTCCACGGGCCAAAACACAGAACATCCAAGGGTACCCTCCCCAGGATGCACAAGTACACCCAGCAAGCACGAAGAACATTGGAGCACCCTCCCCGAACCGGCTTCGATCTTATACCTCGGTCCGACCGTACCCAGTCTTGAGCCTGACGTTGGCATTGGGCTTGTCAAGCACGTTAACAAGCAGCGGCGGCCTGCCGGACTGCCGCAGTGTAGCTGTCCGTGCCTGCCGCGCCGAGTCTCGCTGCTCAGCCGCCGGGTGCTGTTCGATTGCGCGGGTGGGCGAACGCATGTAGGTGGGCCCTTCCCTCGGCGTCGAGCCCCGGGGGGGAGTCGGAAGGGGAAGGCCTCCTTAGAAGGCTCGGAAGTCCCCTGGCCCTCGAAAGAATTTGCTGAGCCATCCCCGTCGACACAGAAACCTCTCAGAAGGCCCGCGGGCTTCTGAGAAGCCGCGCCGCCTTCTCAGAGGGCTTTCTGCTCCTCATGTCCCCTTCGCTCGCCAGATATTCCCTGATGGAAGCCGCGTTCCGCTCGATCTCGAGGTGCGAAGTGCTGCTCTCCCAGTGTCGTCGAAGCTGTGGTGTTGCGCGCCAGCCGTGCGTTTTGACGCTGGGCCGCTGTGGCTTTGGACATGAGGGTCGAGGTGCAAGCACCAAATGCCCCGCCCGTGGCGCGGGGAGGAGGCAGTGAGCGACCCCAGTCGCGAAGCGAAATCGGACAAGCCTGCTCAACCTTGCTCGGGATCTTAGGCCACTGGCCTGCCGATATCCTGGACAAGTGCTCGGTTCGATTGGAATGCGCTGTCCTCGGGCAATATTGCCCGAGGCCCTTGACCATCCGGCCAGCGAAACAACTGCAGCTGGAGCAAAACCAGAGCTTAAGTGTGCTGTGTAACCGCATGCAGAGTGTGTGTGTGTGTGTGTGTGCGTGTGTGTGCGTGCGTGCGTGCGTGCGTGCGTGCGTGCGTGCGTGCGTGTGTGTGTGTGTGTGTGTGTGTGTGTGTACGCGTGTGCGTGTGTGTGTGTGTGTGTGTGCGTGCGTGCGTGCGTGCGTACGTGTGTGTGTGTGTGTGTGTGTCCGTGTGTGTGCGTGTGCGTGTGCGTGTGTGTGTATGTGTATTTGATGCACCCACACCCCCACCAAGTGCAGCTTAGCTCCAGACGGGGACCCGGAAAACTGACCGAAAAACAAAGGAGGTTCTGCCACAAAGACTGTCTCGCTTTGGTGGCTGAGCTACGTCATCTGATGCACTTGCGGCCAGAATCGCGTAGAACATGGGTGGTGGTGAACACCTGGACCGAAGACGTAGCAGAAGGAAGTTGGGAGGCGGCTCAGACTTGTCCGTCCCACGGGCTCCAGCTCTTTCTCCCGTTCGAGAGCATCCATCTTTGCGCGGAGCAGGCGAAGCCTGACGAGATATTCCTCATGCTCCCTCGGCTCGGCTTTTTGACTTGACTCTGGGCTCACCTGAACCTTTGCAGCTGCAACCAATGCCAAAACGTCCGCAACAACAATGCCCAGGACCATCCACATCGGAAATGTCCCAGCCATGGCCTCCCGGGCCCCCAAGTGCGAGTTGACGAATAACACCATAAAGGAGGCAACATGCCGTCCTAGCTTGAATTGCAACCATATCTGAATCCATATATCTGCATCCTGTGCTTCTGTCGTCAAGTATCGGCGCTTAGCCCAACCATCCGCCACATTCTGTTTGTCGGTAGTGTACACTTCAAACCCATTCGATTTCTCAGCAGCAAGAAGGAGGGCCCTCAACTCCCCTCGGGGGACCGCCTGGCGCTCTACAACTAAGCCGCCCGACAGAGAACTACATAAATCAGTCGGATCAAACGTTGTAACATGAGACACATATAAACCAACCCGTCGATATCTTGTATAGCCAGACAGCTCACCGCCACTGGCATCACCAAGCGAGAGTAAATGCTGGTTCCGAAGACCTGTGCCGAAACTGCCAGAGCTGACGACGCCCAAGGTGGGCCATCGTTCCTCGGAGGGTGGGGCCTCCACCTCCACCCATGCTGATGGCAGAAGCCCCGGCAGGAAGAAACACTCTGCATATTCCCAGCTGGAGAACGCCTCCCCCGCCAAGGTATCTCTGACAGATTAAGATGCTGCTCCTGTGTTTGTACTGCAACGCCACACGCGCAAACAAAGCCGTCTCCTTGTCCTCGTGGCAACGAGGGCATCGCTCCTGGTGCGAGGCCACGACGCTCCTGCTGCTACGGTGACCAGCAATACGGGTAGCCAGCTGCCTTGCTCCAGCGCCAACGAATGCTGATGACGCCGTCGCAGTGATCGGCAGCCGGTGCCCTGCCCCATGCCAGAGCCACAGACATGCGTCGGTGATTGGGCCCAAGTAGTGGAGATCGACCTCTGAACGTCTTTGACAAACATACCTGAATCATCAACATCAGGCCAGCCCGCCGAAGCTGTGTCAGAATGAGTGTCGCTCGATGGTCCCTCCTTCAATCGTAGGTGGCGGCCAAACCCCCAATCCGATGCGGCAACTGGGTCCCAACCAGAACTGATGAGAAAAGAATGATGGCAGACCCTGGCCTTCGGATGTGCCGTGTGCGCTGTCCTGGTCGGGCGGCGCGAAGGCTTCTCCACGAGGGGACCCCACCCACGGCAGACCCCAGGGCGAATCCCTGTCTGTGCTCCCAGTCGCTCAAGCTTTGAAGCGAAGAACTTTCTCCCAGCGACTGCGTAGCGGCGGGTCTCAGAGTGCATCATCTGTTGCTTGGCCAAACGCGTGCGTCTCGATGTTCGGACGCGCCTGTCTCCACAGCCCAGATCAGATCCCGCATATCCTCCAATACGCTGCGCCCGAACCTGGAGCCCAGAGAGCCGCAGGGCCCGACAAACTCGGACAGCGTCGGGTTGATGAGTGCAGATCACCACGCTCTTGGCGGCAACCTGCCATTTGATCGACGCAAACCCTTGGCAGGTGTTTCGAAGACTGGCCATCAGCTGCTGACGAACACTTACCTTGGAACCCACTGTCCACTGTGCCAGATCGTCCACCCAAATCCGGTGCCCCATTCGGGGGTGAGAAGAACAAATCTTGCCTAGGACGAGGTAGCCCATGATGCGGCCAAATATAGTACCTGATCGCAGTCGTTGGACCACTGGACGGCAAGGAATAATTGGTAGCGCCCAAGAACTGCATTGGCCCAGCGCCCTAGGCGCCTTGCACTGCAGAATTTCCAGGTATAAGATGGCTGCTGGGAGCCCCAGTTGGATTCCCTCTGGAATGCGGAACCCTATGGTTTCCCTGTCATCATAGAAGCCGCCGGTGTCCGAAAGGCCAGTGCCCGAGACGGTGCCGAGCCGGTGCCCCACCTCCATCCCCCAGGGTGCGGGTGAAGGCCTCGCGAAGGGCCGCGTTGCCTCGTACCGCGGCGTCCCAGTGAGGGGCGGCGTCCTCCGATCAGCGTCGGATGACGGGCTCCTTGGCGAGAGACCACAAGCGGCTGCACATCGAGAGGGGCCCGATGATGCGGTCCCCCTACCGGCCTTCTTCGGGAGAAGGCGTCCCACAGGTCAACATTACCTGGTGTGGCCAGGCAATCTCGGCCTCGACGATCATGCACGATGTCGCCAGGCGCTCGAGCGCCTGCAGCGGGAGGCGCTCGAATTCCACAGGAGACATTCGATCGCAGCCCTGCCCAGCTCCTGCAGCCATGCAACGTGCAGCTATGCGGATGTTCTCGCCTGAGATGGGGGGTGAAGGCTCTAGCTCGGCCCGCTCCCGTCCCAAACGTAATGCCTCGCGTATGGCACCCTCATCAAGTGCCGATGCTGCCCACTTCCGCTTCCATTTCTCCGCCTTGCGACCCACGATCTCCAGCGGTTGAAGCAAGATGTGGCCCTCGATCTCGAACTCCTGCTTGACAGCTAGCTCCTGACGTACGCACTGATGGAGAGCTCCCACAAACTTGCTACCTTCCATCCAATTACCTAAGTCACGTAAGGAAGAGGCAGCTGCACGATGCCGGGCTTTAGGTGCAACACGACTGGAACAATCAGCGAAGACCTGCAACTGCTGCGTGTCAAACTCAGCCTCGTCTCGCAGAGCTCGAAACACGCGCAGCCATTCATCCCAAGGAAGATCTTTGGCACGTAAAACCGAATGTGTTCCCACCCACCTTCCAAACACATAAACTTGAATTGTGGCACATCTTCATACTGCGATTGGAGCGCGCCGCAAACTCGCAAACGGAAGGCGCTCGCGCGCAGCTACGCTTGAGACGACTTGGCGGAAGAGAAACTACGTGGGCCGCGCGGGGGCGGGAGCGACGAAGCTTCCGATGGGCACAACGAAGGCGAAGCGTGCACCGCGCTGACATAAAAGCACTGCCCCTTTCACCCACAAGCTGCGCTGGCGAGGTCAGCCATTCGCCCGGTCTCGCGTGGCCCCGCTGCCGCTACAGTCGGGGCGTTGACGTAAGGATCCCTAAATAAGGAAGGAGGCCCCTTTTCTCCATAAGTTCAACTTCGATTTCGTATCGAGAACATAAGAAAACCTGAGGCAAGCTGTGAAACAGTTAAGGAACGCGGAGCCCCTCCCCAACGAAAAGGGTTCCTTCTTCAGGGCCCCGACTGCATCGCTTCCATGCGATTCGACGACAGGACCATGCGCCGCGCCCGCCGTGGAACACCCCGCTTTCGAGCGGAATGCGCACGGAGCTTGGGCGAGAGGGCGACCAGTCGCCCACTTGCGCGGGCCCCCCGAAAACCGGCGAGTGAAAACATGCGCCGCGTCGAGTCGGCAGCACCACTTTCACCGAAATCTGCGCGGCACCGAGGCGAAGACCACATGTTTGCCTGCTCGCACGTCGACGGAAGAGCGTGGGGGAAAAAAGCGCGCCGCGCCCAAGCAGGAGGTAAAAGTCTCGAGAAACGCCAGAGGCGAGCGCGGGAGGGGCGCCCCGGCCCACTCCTGCCACACATCTTGCGACATGGCCAACGTGATGTCCAGGACAGTCCATGTTGAGGCTGGCAACGTGGACCTCATCTTGCCTCTGAAGAACAAGATGGGACCCCGAGGGGACGTTTCGCCACGCCTGCAAGCCAGGGGGTCTGTTCTTGGAGCCCCGATCGAGCTGATCAGGGTCTGCTGGGGAGGGCGCCCTGTCCGCCTCCCTGCGGTCGCAGTCCCAGCGCAGCTTCTCTTGCACTCCAGCGGGGTCTTTTGCGTCATTGGGTAAGAGATTGATCGCTGGATGCCTTCCTCTGCCTCCTCCCCCCGTACCCCTCATCCTCCCCATGCTGCTTCGTCCTCCTCCTCCTCCTCCTCCTCCTCCTCCTTTTCATCCCTCCCCTCCTCTTACATCAAGCACACGCGGCGCGAGAAGTCACACCGAATCACGGCTCACAAACGACCTATGGCTTATTGCCGCATCTACAAAGCCCAGCGATGGTCGCCACAGTCGAACATACGGTCGGGAACCTTTGCTTAGCGTGTCACTGCGGCGGCCCTGGCGACACGCTATGCCTTGCAGGCGGATCCCGTGTGGCTCCGCTGCATGGGGCGGAAGGCTAGGAAGGGCTCGGCACGTTGACACTCGGGGAATGGGACGCGGCTAGCGTGTTGCGCCGACGCGCGGTGGGCCAGAAGCGGTGGCGCGAAACGCTGAGCAAACAATCCCGTCCGTATCTCTCGGCGATTGCACCAGTGACTCGTCCTCGCTCTGCTGCTGCGTCACGTCTCTCTGCCGGCGTAAGCAGGCTCCGTGCGCGCTGCCCGCAGTCGGATCGGGGCGGGAGATGGGGACCGCGCAGCTGGGCATTTGGGGCGCACGCACCCGCAGACGTCATAATCCTGCTTGATTGGTCCACGCAAAACACTCGAACCCCTCGTCCCCAAGCGCTGAATACCACCACATCGACACTGTGCAACAGCGTGAAATGGAGGATAGGATGATGGCCGCCGAGCAGCAGAGCCCTCGAGCACATGCATAATATACAAGAGCATGACATCAGCATCCTCTTCTCGGTGGGTGATTGGGATGGCCCACGAGTTACCCCAGCACGGCGACGTACCCCAGTCAGGCGTCACAGAGGCTACGGCTCCAGCCACAGCATGCGACAATTCTCGGCCCCATGGCGTCACGATTTGGGCCTTGTGGGCCCAGTCTGCAGAGGGCCATCCGAGCTGGCGGGCAACCGACGGACCATGATATACGACTGCATGTTACGAGGAATGGACGGGATGCAAAACATCCTGGTCTGGATAAGATATCCAAACAGATGGAACCTGCCGACGCAAGCACAAACGACGCTCGCCTGGGAATGGGCTCGTGCCATGGGCCTTCTTCGCCATGATCTTCTGCGCGGCCAGGCTGGGTGCTGTTTCCTCCTCTGGAACCCCTACCAGCCCTTCATCGTCGTCGCCCTCCTCCCCCGTGGTCTTCTCTCACCACTGGCGCTGCCCCAATCGCCTACCATGATGCGTACGTCACCATTCGGCTACACGCAAAAGTAGCCCTGGGTAAGAGTGACCGTTGGTGCGCAACTTCTGGGGGGCCGCGGGGGGACCAACCACAAGCGCACAATACGCTACTATCGCATCGCGTTGGCCCCGCACCAAAGGTCAATTCAGCGAAGTGTCACTCTTACGTGTAGTCGAATCACGCCATACATTTCTACAATCAGCAGTGGCATGGCAGCCCCAGATGCAAGGCCCCTGCTATCGACGGAACCGCGCGACTCTGGCGCGATCTGTCGTCCACTTCGTCCCCGCATCCTCTCCAGGCATTTGCACACATGTGGCATCTCCGCTCAGAAAAGACTCCAACCCCGCTAAGCATGCGAGCCCGAAACACGTGCAACCTGGGAACCCCATGCGCCAGCATGTTGAATCACATGGAGTCGAGAGTGTCAAGCAGGGCGCCGCACTGTATTTCATCCGCTCCGTAGTCGCCGTCGTATCTTGGACATCCACCCAGGAGATGACCACCCTCCTCGCTTCATTTCGACGGCGCGCCCGTGGGGAAATGAGAAGTGGCGGACCTTCTCAGAAGGCTCAGAAGTCGCACGGCCTTCTGAGAAGTTTTCTAGGCTTCCCCTGAAGACACAGAACAACTCCCAGAAGGCCCGATGGCTTTTGAGAAGCCTCGCCGCCTTCTGAGAGAGACTTCACCTTCTGACTTCCCTTCCCCGCTCGCCACCGATTAGTACCATCCCCTCCCGTCTATCCCCTTCACACTCATCGCCTGTTTTCCTTCCCGCTTCCCCTTCGAATCTCCCTCCTCAATGCTTCTCCTCTCCTCTCATCCTTCTCACCCTCAACAATTACTCAATATGAAAATACTCTCCCTCTTCCCCTGATGGCGGTTGGGTGATCGCCGACCCCCCCCCCGCGTACTGTTTTTTACACACAGGATTCCCGGGAAACGGGTTTTCGCCTGCGTTTTTTTCCAAAATGCTGCTCTCGCTGAGGCGTCGGCCTCATTTCTGCTCCCGAATCGTTCCGAATCGTGCTCCCGCTGCAGCGTGGGCCTCATTTTCGGATCGGTGTTTGGCCTCCGTCGTTCAGGATGGCGTTCTCGCCCCAGCGCGGGCCTCTTTCTCGCGCGCCCATCCGCCCGCCACCACCGCGCCGCCACCACCACCACCACCACCACCACCACCACCACCACCACCACCACCACCACCACCACCAGCACCACCAGCACCAGCACCAGCACCCAGCACCAGCACCACCACCAACAACACACCACCACCACCACCACCACCACCACCACCACCACCACCACCACCACCACCACCACCACCACCACCACCACACAACCACGCACACACGCACGCACGCACGCACGCGCACCACCACCCACTACGCACGCGCGCGCGGAGCCACAGGTCCGCTACGACACGCGTCCGCGGATAGAGAAAATCAGCGCCATGGTAAGGGATGGGAGGGAGGGGTAGGACGTCAGATATGACGCGAGCGCATCTAGCTTGCTCCTCCTCCCCTCCTCCTCCTCCTCCTCCTCTTCCTCCTCCTCCTCCTCCTCCAAATCCTGCGTCCTGATCCGATTCAGACTCGCTCGTCGCATCCGTCCCCTTCCTTCTCAACCTCCTCCTCCCCATCCTCGTCCCGCTCTTCTTCATACTATATTTCTTCTTCGCATGAATATTACCTGTCTTATTTGCCGTCCCCTCTTCCCCTTCTTCCCGGAGCGTGCCGCAAAGGGGTCCGCGGAGCCGCCGCGGCTCCCATGGATAGAACGGGGGAAGCGCTCCGTAGGCGCACGCCACAGAGCATGCAGGCAGGCAACCCAGCAACCAAACGAACGGACAAACTCGACAGCCTCCCGGCGGCTCAGCGAGCCTGGCCGCCATGCCTCTCCCTGCCAAATCTTGTCCTCGACCCTCGCGGGTCGAGCGGGGGCTTTCGGGCGCTTTCGGTCCTTGTTGGGCCTCGCCGGGCCTCCAGGGCGGCAGCAAAATTCACCAACCCTCATCACCTCTCACTCCTGCTCCTCCTCCTCCTCCTCCTCCTCCTCCTCCTCCTCCTCCCCCCCCTCCTCCTCCTCATCCTTCTCCTCCTCCCTTCCTTCTCCTTCTCCTCCTCCTTCTCCTCCTCCTCCTCCTCCTCCTCTTCCGCCTCTGCGAGCGTACCCCCTCGGCAAACTTGAGTCCCGCCCCTCGCCGCAGCGCGCCAGGAGCTCCTCCTCCTCCTCCTCCTCCTCCTCCTCCTCCTCCTCCTCCTCGTCTTCCTTCAGGCAAAGATAACCCGCGCGCGGACCTCGTCGCCCAGCACTGGGTACTTGGCGGGCCCTTGCTCTGCCTCTGGGCGCGGGGGGTCGCTGGGCAGGGGGCAACGGTCACTGGGCGCGAGGGGTCGCTGGGCGCTGGGGGTCTCTGTCCGGGGATGGGGGGGGGGGCCAGCGAGAAGGAAGAGGGGGGCCCTGGTGGTAACGGCAGTGGCGATGCTGGCGCCGATGGGTGATGGTGGTACGAATTATGAGGGGGGCAGGGGAGGATGGGGGTGGGACAATGAGGGGGAGGAGGACAACGATGAGAGGGAGGTGGAGGAAAAGGAGAAGGAGGAAGACGAGGAGGAGGGGCAGGGGAGGAGGAGGAGGAGAAGGAGGAGGAGGAGGAGGAGGAAAAGGAGGGGCAGGAGGGAGCCGGAGGCGGAGACGGAGGGAAGCGCGGGTAAGCGGGAATGGGTAGGGCGGCGGGGGGGCCGGAGGCCTCAAGGTCGCAGTTCGGAACAGCATGCCTCGTGGCCTGCCCAGGAGGCCAAATTGTGCACGCGTTCGTTCCACCAGCAATATCCAACAACGTTTGCACCTAAGGGCTCTCACTTCCGTCACACAGGGATTGGATGGGTCGGCCACTGTCTCGCCGCGTCGCCGCCAATGGCCGCCTCGTGGCCGCCGCGCTGCCGCCCCCTTGTGGCGTCAGCCGGCGCCCGTGGCCGCCTCGTGGCCGCCCACGTGGGGCGTCCGCCGAGGCTTTTCCGCGTCGCCGCCCGTGGCAGCCTCGTGGCCACCTCGTGGCCGCCTCGTGGCCGCCTCGTGGCCGCCTCGTGGCCGCCTCGTGGCCGCCTCGTGGCCGCCTCGCTGCCGCCTGCTCGGGGTGATCCCGCCGACGTTTCGCCGCGTCGCCGCCCGTGGTCGCCTCGTGGCCGCCTCGCTGCCGCCCGCTGGGGGGGGTCCACAGCAGCTTCGCCGCGTCGCCGCCCGTGGCCGGCTCGTGCCCGCTCTATTGCCGCCCAGTCGGGGTGCCTGCCGAGGTTTCGCCGCGTCGCCGCCCGTGGACGCCTCAATGCCGCCTACTCGGGAGGCCAGTCGAGGCCTCGCGGCGTCAGCGACCGTGGCCGCCTTGTGGCAGCCTCGTTGCCGTCCACGGGGTCCACCGATGTTTCGTCGCGTCGCCGCCCGTTGCCGCCTCGTTGCCGCCCACTTGCGGGGTACGCTGAGGTTTCGCCTCGTCGCCGCCCGTGGCCGCCTCGTGGCCGCCTGGATGCCGCCCACTCAGGGCGTCTGCCGAAGCCGAGGTTTCGCCGCGTTGCCGCACGTGGCCGCCTCGTGGCCGCCTCCCTGCTGCCCAGGGACGTCCGCCGAGGTTTCGCCATGTCGCCGCCCGTGGCCGCCTCCTGGCCGCCCCCTTGCCGTCCACTGGGGGTTTGGGGCGTCCGCCGAGGTTTCGCCGCGTCGCCGCCCGTGGCCGCCTCGTTGCCGCCCACCGCGCTTGGGGAGTCCGCGGAAATTTTACCACGTCGCCGCCCGTCGTGGCCGCCCCGCTGTCACCCACCGCGCTGAGCTTGCACGTAAGAGGCCAGCGTTTTCAACGAGTGCTTGCACCCAGGGGTTCTTGCTTCGGTCACGGAGGAATTGGATGGGTCCGCCGAAGATTCGCCAAGTTGCCACCCGCTGCCGCCCGTTGTAATCCGTCGCCGCCCGTGGCAGCCTCGTGGCCGCCTGGGGGGTCCGCCAGGCATGCCCCGCGTTGCCGCCCGGTGGCCGCCTGGTGGCCGCCTCGTGGCCGCTGGGGGGGTCCGCCGAGGATTCGCCACGTTGCCGCCCTCTGCCGCATGTTGACGTCTCGATGCCTGTTGGGGTCCGCCGAGGATGCGCCACGTTGCCGCCCGTGGCCGCCCCGCTGCTGCTCGGGGGTCCGCCGAGGGTTCGCAGCGTTACCGCCTGTTGCCGCCCGTGGCCACCTCGTTGCCGTTTGGGGTGTCCGCCGAAGCTTCACCACGTCACTGCCTGTTGCCGCCTGTTGCCGCCTCGTTACCGCCCGCTGCCGTCCCGCTGCCGCGTCACCACATAGCTTACACCGCAGATATTGCTCCACGTAGAGTGCGCCACGGAGCTTGCACCGCATAGCTTGCACCACTTGGCTTGCACCACATAACTTGCACACGTTTTTGATTCGCGGGTCGAGAGCGCACCTCTTCCGGTCAAAGCTAAGCGGGCCGCGCGAAGCTTGAATTAACCAGAGACGGGGGAGGAAAAGGGGGGCGCAGCCTCAGAACGAGGCCGGGAGGAGAAACACAGAACTTACACACCTACAATGCGAAAACTTGCTGCTTGGGGCCAGCGCTGCCTTTTTTTTAGGAAGGACAAAAATCGTTCCGCACGTTCTTGGAGCCTTCCGCGTGCCCCCCCCCCCCCCTGCCGCCAGAAGGTGAAGGTGGGGGTCTAGATCAGTCGACTGGTCAATCAACAAATGGACTGACGACGAGTAAGCTTCGGTCAGCATGGCTCGCGTGGCCGCCTCCCCAGGGGCACGCATTATGTCCATGGCCCGTTGTCCTTGCCCCTGGGGGGCCGAGAAGGGCCCCCCAATGCGGGACTGGAGGGCACACGCCCGGAATAAAACAGCCAATCTGCCCAGATGCCTGCTGGCACATGCTGGCATGAAGGAAACGGGACCCTCCCCAAGGAACACACCTGTACCCTGATCAGTCTTCTGGCCGTCCCGGGGCCCGAGGAGGTCAGAGCAAAGTCAGAATACGGCGAGACGCCTCAGGATCGGTTCCCTTCAGGACCCTTTTTTGATGGCGAGTCTGACCCCCTTCTTCATCCTCCCTCCGCCCCCATGGATTCGGCCTGCCCCCTCGGAGCCCGATGCCCCCACATGGTCTCATTCTGCTCCCTGCTGCTGCTGCTGCTGCTGCTCTTGCTGCTTCTCCTCCTCCCTCCTGCTTCTCCTCCCTCCTTCTCCTGCTCATCCTGGTTTTCCTGCTCCTCCTGCTGCTGCTGCTCGTCCTCCTCATCCTCATCTTCAGCCTCCTCCTCCTCCTTTTCTGCCTCCCGTGCGCACACTGCCCCGCGCGCTGGCGCGCGCGCGTGGGGAGGATGCGGATGAGGATGAGGAGGAGGTGGAGGAAGAGGAAGAGGAGAAGGAAGAGGAAGAGATGGAGGAGACGGAGGGATGATGAGGAAGAGATGAGCAGGAGGAGGAGGAGAAGGAGGAGAAGGAGGAGGGGGAGGACCAGTGTAAACCCAAGAGTCATCAACGATGTTGGAGTAAACCCTCCCTCCAAGCTCCATCTTCAGAGGCCCCTACAACGGTTCAAATTCATTGAGAGAACTGCCTCGTTGGAAGACATCCGTTTGAAGACCCTGAAGCATGCCAAAGCATTATTCTCTGGATTACAACGCCACCGATCAACCTGAGTGTTGCATGTTGGCGATCATGAATCGTACCAGAACGCCATTCCAGGAACATCAACACAAATAATCAACGTAACAAGTGCACCCGCATCATCCTGAATCCTTCCACCGCACAGTTTCTGGTACGTTGATGATGGAAAGCCGTGAAAATCTTGCAAATGTCTAAAACGAATGTGCGCCGCGCTAAGGCAAGAGCCACATGTCGAAAAGGAACCGCCCTCAAGCCGTGAAACTCTTGACAATTTTCAAAACGAATGTGCGCCGCGGAAAGACGTGAGCCACATGTTGAAAACCATCAGCCCTCAATCCGTGAAGCGTTTGCAAATTCTTGAAACGAGTGTGCGCCGCGGAAAGACGTGAGCCACATTTTGAAAGCCACCCGCCCTCACTCTGTGAAGCCCTTGCATTTTTTCAAAAACGAATGTGCGCCGCGGTAAGACGAGAGCCGCATGTTGAAAACACCCGCCCTCAATCCGTGAAGCTCTTGCAAATTCTTAAAAATGAGTATGAATCGCAGAAAGGCGAGATACACAGTTTGAAGACCATCCGCCCTCAATCCGTGAAGCTCGTGCAACTTGTTAAAACGACTGCGCGCCGCGCGAAGGCGAGAGCCAGATTTTGAAAACCGTCCTCCATCTGTGAAGCCGTTGCCAATGTTTTAAGCTTCAGAGTCATCAGTGGTGAGAAAGTCTCAGGCGAAACGCCCGGCCCGCCCTCTCAGAACTGGCCTCGGGGTGCGACAGGGAGAAGTTATGTAGAAGGAAAAGGAATTGAGGAGGGGGAGCAGAAGGAGGAGCGTGGGGAGGAGAGGGGATGATGATAATGATGATGATGAGAAGGAGGAGGAGAAAGAGGAGAAGGAGAGGAAGAGGAGAGAAGCAACATATCCCTTCGAGGACAAGGGATTCCCTCCCGCACCTCCCCCTGATCGGCACGCCCGACATTGGTGCGAACGAACATAGGCACGATGCCCAACAACAGATGTTGTGCAAATCCGACAGTCGCCGCTGTTGGGTCCGAGACCTCCTGTCTCAAATTGATAGCGGCCGCGGCGACACCGACAGCGAGCCCTGTCCAAAAATGTGCAGCGAGCTGCTGTCCGTCTTTCTCACGGCTCTCCCCGTGCCCATCTCGATGAGGAGGCGGAGGAGAAGGAGGCCCTGAGGAATCCCCTAGGAATGCCCTGGGAAACATCGGCCGCATCATGCTTCCACTGAATACCGCCGGGACAAAGGCATCGTCACAACAAGTATGAGCCTCTGCGGGAGGGCGCTACATCCACGTGGAGCGTGCACACAGCCAACAACAGTTGCGCAAGGCATTCCAAGGATGACCCGAACAAAAAGGAGCAAGGCAACGAAAAGCTGGCCAACAAGCATCACAACTCACTATTGCCCTCCATCCTTCACGCACGACGCAATCATGATGCCACGCTCACATAACGAAACACTTCTTGCCCCGCCCCTGGCCCCGTAGGGCCGTGTTTCCTGGCCAATTCCCAACCCAATTTCGACCAGTGCTGATGGGTGCCGCCCCAATAAGCCATCCGAGGGGCACGGCTCCCTCGGCATGACCTCCCACCCCGACGCACGCCACGGTGGGGATCCGCGACCGTGGGAACAGCGGGTGTGCCGCACCCAGGCGACACGCATCCCCGCCCAGGCGCACGCGGGTACGTGCCGTGACACCGACGCGAACCTTAAAACAGGGCTAGGATCGGGATAAATCGCTCCAGAGCGTTCCGGAGCGCTCTCAGAGCGTTCCGGAACGCTCTGGAGCGGCCGCGGCGCCCAATACATCCTCCAAACCCGCCGATTCTCAGAGATTTCGAGCTATCCCGATCCGATTTTGTCCCGATCTTCGCGTTCTTTTAAAACCTGGCGACCGGGAGAGCGGGCTTCAGCTCCGCAAGGCGCCGCGCGCGCGCCGCACCAGCGCACGGGCCCCAGCCCCCGCCGTGGAGCAGAGGTGGAAGTCGCCGCCGATGGTGGCCGCGTGCCGGGCCGGATCGGCGGCCGCCCGCGCAGCCGTGCGGCGCCAGAGGCCGACAATGGCACGACGGTCCCGGGCGCTGAGCTCGTTGCGGTGAATGTTGATCAGGACGGTGGAGGTGTGCTTCCTGGGGTTCGTAATCTGAAGAGCGTCCGCACGGCCCGCCACGATCTCATGGAAGTCGCAGTGCGGCCGATCTGCTGCAGGGGTGCCAGATTGCTGTGCCGCGCTGGCCAGCGGCGCAATCATCGCGACGCCTCCTGCCCCAGGCTTGGCGCACGGCGAGAGAAAGACCTTGTAGGGTAGGGCATGCTGCAGAGCTCGCGGGCGAGCTCTTCCTGCACGCCGTGGCACTCCTGCACCAGTAAATGGGAAACTGCTTCATCAGGACCGCTAGCTTGCGATTGCGCTGGCGGCGCCGGCTGTGGACCAGGTTCCGTGCGTTCCAGCTCACCACCTGGCACGTCTGTGCGCCGTCGGTAACGGTCCAGGGAGCCCATGGGTCAACGGCTCCGCTGCTGCGCCTCCCAGGACGCGGGACTTGCTGATGTGCCAGACAGCCGCGAAGCGATTCTGCCACTGAGGATGGTGGGCTCGATGGCTGTTGGGCACTCGACGCGGACCAGCGACTTGCTGTCGAGTAGCATCTCGCCGACGTCCCTGCGGTCTGCCAACTGGCCAGCGTCGGGGTAGACTTCCTCGCAAATGCGCTTGAGGTGGTACAGATATTATTGGGCGAACGGAAGGCTCTAACGCAGATGGGCTCCACTCTGTTGCCGTTGCCGTGCGCCGCTGCCGAAAATGATCGCCAGCCCTGATCGTTGTTGAGCCGGGGTGGTGGATCTCCACACCGCCGATTATTTGCATCGTGAACTTGCGGCCGGGAGCTCCTTCAATGAATCGGACGCCTTCTTCTGGGACTCCAGCAGCTTGTAGCCACGGAGAAAGTGCTGAGCGGGCGGCCCTTGGGTAGGTGATGTCGGTGCACTGGATGTGGAACATGCTCGCCTTGTATTTGCGGTCCCACTCGCGGAGGTCAGTGGCATCCATGATGGGGATCTCGGCCGTGGCACTGGCGAGGGTGGCGATGATCTTCTTGACCTGTTCCACGGCGTTGGCGGCGTTGGCCTCCGTCCTGGCGACACGCTGCGTGAGCGTGACCAAGTCTCGATCCGTGGCGTTGAGGCGTTGCTCTTGCTCTTCGGAAAGTTCTTGTACCAGGCGGGCCGCAGCGCGGGTGGCCGTTGCTTCGGCCACCGCCTTGGCGAGCGCCACGAGCTCCTCCTTCGCTTCTTGCTGTTGGAAAACGCCTTGTCCATGGCGGACGCCCTCGACGCCGCTAGCGCCCTTGCCAAGTCAATTGCCGGGTTTATCGGCAGCTGCCTCATTGTCCGGGCCTCCCGTGACAGCGGCGGCGGCGGGGGGTCCTGCAACGGGCGCGGTGACGACGGCGCCTCCAGCTTGTGCCCGCTGGTCACGTTAGGCCAGGGAGTCTTGCTCGTGACGCTTGGCGAGCGCAGGTGTGCGGCTGCTCTCGGGGCGCTTGGAGGCCGAGCTGCTGCCAGCAGCCGGAGCCATGCCGCGAGGATGCGAATGGAAGTCGTCCAGCGCACAGCTAGGAGAAAACGAACACTGGAAGTGTAGCCACGTTGACTTGTCAAGTGGCGCAGGGACCCGGTAGGTCGAGCACGAACTCAAGTACTCCCGCGCTCCGACGCCATCTTGAGCCAAAATGGCTGCGGAGGAGGAAGAGGAGGAGAACGGGAGGAGGAGGAGGAGGAGGAGGAGGAGGAGGAGGAGGAGGAGGAGGCGGGAGGAGGAGGAGGAGGAGGAGGAGGAGGAGGAGGAGGAGGAGGAGGAGGAGGAAGGAGAAGACGAGCGTACGCAAGGAGGAGAAGGAGGAGGGGGGGGGGGGGCGGGAAGCCCGGCGGCGCCTGCGCCCCAGGCGGCGGGGCCGCGGCCACGACGGCCGCCGCGGCGGCTGCTGCGGCTCCTGCCCGGCTTGCCGTCGCCGACGCCGCCGCCCGTCGTCGCCAGCGCCGCTCGTCGTGGCTACCGTCCGCGTCCGCGCGGTTGCCCTCGCTCTCCTCTGTGGTCTTTTAGGCGGGGATGTACACTAGGGGCCCCACCATAAGAGACCTTCCGCAAGAAACCCAGCCCTGAGGCCACAGGTCGTCCATGGATTGTTGGTGTGGGAACGTGACGCTTCCCATAGCAAAACCATCGAAACCCGAGGAACCCAGGGCACCCTGGAAGCAAGCAAGGTGTTTCTGGCATGGGTCTCCAACGTATCCGTATTAGGCGCCTAGGAACTGCCGTCCTGGGGACCCCGCGGGCGGTGGAGATGCATCTATTTAGGCCGGCCCAGAGAGGTCCCAAGACGGCCTCCGACGGCGTCAGACGCACCAGAAGCGCCCTACGACGGCCAACGAGGCCCCCGAGAAGCTCCCAAATGCCCCCAAGAGGCCCAAGGAGGACCCCAAGACGCCTCCTATAGGCCACTCAGAAGCTCCCCGGAGACCCCAAGAGTGCCCCAACAGACTCCCAAGAAGCGTCCTCCTCCTCTTTCCTCTTTCTCTTTTCTCTCCCTCTCCTCTTCTTCTGCTTCTTCTTCTTCTTCATCACCATTATTATTATGATTATTATTATTGTTATCCTTCTTCTTCTTCTTCTTCCTTCCCCACGTGTTCCCCGACGGCCTTCCACACGGCTGGGGGAACAGATAGTGCGATTCCTCGGCCGAGACATGGCCAAAATCACAACGTTCGGCGACACTGGCGCTCCAAAAACGGGCATGGGCGCGGCGGCGATTGCTCGCCGTAGGCCTCTTCGATCCGCCGCCCCCTGTTGGCTTGCCACAGGGGTGCGCGGAGTGCCGTACAGTCGGGGCGTTCACCTAAGGAACCCTAAATAAGGAGCGAGGCCCCTATTTTCCATAAGTTCAACTTCGATTACCCATGGAAAACCTAAGGACAACCCAAGGCAAACTGTAAAACAATCAAGGAACACCGAGCCCCTCCCCAACGAAAAGGGTTCCTTCTCCAGCGCCCCGACTGTAATGATTGTGGTTGTGCTTGCAGGTTCCCAAAGGGGCCTCGGCCGATCGCGGCGCTCCTTCGGAGAGCCGCGCAGAGCCCGGGAGGCACGGCCCCTGATGCTCCCAAGACGGCAGAGATGGCCCAGGATGGCCTCCAGGATGCCTCCACGACAGCAAAGAGGGCCCCCCAGAAGGCGCAAGGCGGCCCGCAAGATGCACCCATGACGGCCCAGCACGTCCTCGAGGAGGCGCAAGGAGGCCCCCAAGGCGCCCCAAGAGGCTCCAAGAGAACCTCCAGGAGGCCAAACTCAGGGATGTCCCCACGGATGTATCACGATTTGAGCGTCCTCACCTTTTCTGATTTGCGACGCTCCAAGATGGCCCCACAGGCCCCCGAGATCGCCCCAAAACTGCCCGAGAGGCCCCAAGAGGCCGCAAGCCGGCCCAAGGAGGCCGCCAAGACGGCCCCACAGACCTCGAAGGCGGCCCTAACACGACCAAAGATGGACCCACGACTGCCCCGAGAGGGCCCCAAGACGGCCTCCAGGCCAAGAAATCCCTGAGAGGCCCCTGGAGGCGTTGAAAGGCCCCCAAGAGGCCCCAGGAGGCCCCCAAGAAGCCACAGGAGGCCTCCGAGAGGCCCCCCAGAGGCTCCCAGGAAGCCCCCAGGAGGCCCCAAGAGTGCCTCACGAGGACTCCTCTTCGTGTGACCCCCTGATCCTCTGGCGCAGCAGTCCAGCTCCCGAGGGCCGCACTGTCCGCTGGAAGGCGGGCAAGAGGGGCGAATGGGGGTGGACCACAGAGGCAGCCCGTCAGGGATGGGAAACGTGACCTGGCCAAGGCGGTATTGGCGGGGCAGGCCAAGTCCTCCTGAACCGTGGCCGGAGGAGGGGCCCAGCCCCTTCTCAGATGCGTCAAGGAGCCCCCCACGGGTCTCCTCCTCTCCCTCGGGGTCCACCACGGCTGGGGGAACGCATGATCCAGTAGCTCGGTCGGACATCGACCCAACAGTTTGGCCGCATGGGCGCTTCTAGAGGGCATGGGGGGCGGACGGTGTTTTGCCGTAGGCATAGGTCTCCTCCTCTCTCTCGGGGTCCACCACGGCTGGGGGAACGCATGATCCAGTAGCTCGGTCAGACATCGACCCAACAGTTTGGCCGCATGGGCGCTTCCAGAGGGCATGGGGGCGGACGGTGTTTTGCCGTAGGCATCTTCGACACATTCAGAAGGTGCATCAAGAACAGACACCACTACAGTGCATCATTAAATCCCACATATACCAAACATCACGACCCGACTCCAGGACAGAGAACAACAAACACTGGTTGGCAACACGGCCACGAACACGGACCACGCACGCCAATACTTGAGGTTAGAAGACGAATCGATTAAACGCGCCACAAGCATACACCAACGACATACACCAAGATAATAACCCATGGTCTGCCATCAACATCACGCCAACGCTAACATGCCGCATTTTCAGATGTCAAGAGCACACGCGTGAACAACACGCACTGAAACAAACACGTCAACCACCCACTTGTAGAACATACGTCCATACCGATCAGCAAGCACATGCGCCAATCTGTCACAGTAGCACGGGGCAGCAAAGACACACCACAATCACATGCATTGGAACCACATGCTACCAGGCGGGATGAAAAGCACACGCCAAGTCAGAGACAGCGTACGTGCTACCACCACGACAACAACAATGCATACCCATACTGGGTAACCATAATATCTTGAACTCATTAGTTGGCGATAGGTAGCAGCAGCTCGCATGAATGGAATCAACAGGGAAGTCACATACGTCTGCAACACACACACACATGCACACACCGTTCACAGGAACATTCGCACATAACATGGGTAGGCCACGTGATGCAGCGTTTGCGCAGACAGCAGGAATGAAGCAACACGCAGACATAGCAACTATACAGAGCATCTGCGACGACGATACGTCAGCACGTATGCAACATGGCACAGCGCATAGCCTCAAGAGGCTGACTTCACAACTATTCGCAACAATTCCATGGTGGGGATCGCCCGGGCGCAGACCCTGGGATGCTAGCAAACTGTGTTCTGATCCATCCATATCTGATCCAGCCAACCCTTGGATGAACCCCGCAGATTGGACGGATCAGGAAAACAGCGTCAGCGTTTTTCGGATCCGTCCATATCTGAAGGGTTCATCGTGTCCTTCCCCCCTCGTCCACGAGCCGTCCTCCCCTTGGCGGTTCTCCTGCGTCGCGCCTGCTGACGCTGCCGCGCGCCACCCGGGGAAGCCTGCGGTAGGGGGAGGGGCTCTGAATGTTCCACGTAACGACGAGTGGCCCCGAGAACGATGCGCCAGGGCAGAGAAAGAAACTCACACAGGGCGCGAATCAAGCACGCGAAATCTAAATATCGGCGCTGGCAGAAATGGAGTGGGCCTTTTGAAAACCCTTGTCAACTGTGCCTGAGAAGGACGATTGAGGCATATGGACATGGAGAATTCGAAGGAGAGCTGCATTGGGGAGCGCACACGAAGCCTTGCCACCAAAAAGTCGGCGCACCTGTGCCGTCGATCTTACAGCTTCGTGACGCGCCCCAAGGCTTCGGTGGCTTCCTGGGGCCATCGGGGCATGTTCAATTTTCGCGCGGTTCTGCTCACTTGCCAATTTCTGATAGCATATGCAAACCGTGTGCTTCCTGGTGGGCTCAATGTGTGTGGAAGACAATGGCATGACAAGTGTTATTTGCAATACTTTGTCGGATGGTGGGGAATTTCTGGGCGTCGGTGTCGAGGGCGTTTTCCCGCGATGTCTCCTGCTCCTTTTCGTCCTCCTCGCCCTCTTCCCGCTCCTTTCCGTCGTCCTCCTCGCCCTCTTCCCCACTGTCGTCCTCCTCGTAGTGCACTCGTCTTCCGAAGCTTTTCGGGGCTCGTTCTCCTCGCATAGGCGTCGTTGGAGCAACGCCCTCCGGGTTCGTGATGCCTCCCAACGGTGCTGCGCAGGGCTACTGACGGCCAGATGACTGCTTACTATCGCAGCTCGATGACTGCTCACCGCTTCTCATTGCTGCTAGATGCTGATCACTGCTCCGCACTGGTGATATGCTGGTCGTTGGTGTTTTTGCTCGTCAGTGGCTACTCACTGGTGTTCAATGATGCGTAGTGGTTGCCTGTGTTGATCATTGCCTGCCCACAAGCATTGGTGGCATTGCTTGACATTGCTTGGCATGAAACACCGGTGGCGGGGAACTCAGGTAACCCGGGGAACCCTGGAAACCTCCGAGCAACGGGCAACGTCACAATTGTATGTACCAACCGTTTTTACCGAATAAGAACCCCTTAGGCAAGCTTAGTTGAGGAATATCGCCTACTTCGGCATTGTCCGTACGACCAACGGAAACAAAAACGAAATCGCAAATATGTTCCAGGGGTTGCTCATCAGCTTCAGATTCTTCCAGCGGCCAAACTTCTGGTGAAGCTGAAGCAAGGCCCGTGGCACCCTGTGACACGCGCTTGCCCATAACCGCTGTTTATGTGAGATTTATCTTTGGCTTTCTGTGTTTGGTTGTGTGTGCTACGTCTCATCCCCGAGAAAAGCGCCGCACATGCCGCTTCTGGTGCATAAATAGATAGTTCCAGCAACTACGCAACACTTTTGCCAATAATTAGCCCCTCTGGTGTTGTGGCTGCTTGCTTTTTGTGTGGCATCTGTTGCAGTCTCACCGCCTTCGCTCTTCAACTGCACATTTGGCGCATCGCCCTACAGAGACTACCGTATCGAACAACATCTTCAATGCCATTACGCACTGCGTAAAGCAATGCTATTTTGCCGCGCTCATCTGCCTGATCCACAATCGGCCCGCCCCTGGATCCGCGTCCGATCCTCGTCAACTGAACGCGCCCTCCAACGTTCACTGGGCTCATTGCATCGACGCTTCCACCATAGATGATGCATCACATACAGATAACACGGCTGAAACAACACATGCATTACTACAACATCCCCGTGCTGGGCCGCGTGGGCTGCCCCAGGAAGACAAATCTCTCTCTCTCTCTCTCTTTATCTCTCTCTCTCTCTCCCTCTCTCGAAGCGCCCCGGGCAATTCTGGAACGGCCGCGGCGCCCGATGCGTCCTCCAGACCCGCGCGGGCCTCCGAGAGCTTATGTTTGTGCGATGGTGTGCTCTTCCACGAGGGTCGACATCGGGGAGTTGGGGCAAAAACGCCAATTCAAACGCCACGCACGCATCGTCTGGGATCTGGGGAGCTGCTCGCGGCGACGGCGGTGGCGGGCCGTCTGCGCCGCGCGCTGCGCAGTTCTGCGAGCGCGGCGGGCGCCGCCGCCGCCGCGGCGAGCAGCGCCGAAGCCGCGGCGGGCTGCGCCAGGCTCCTGGCCGTCGCCGTCGGCGTCGCCGCCGCCGCCGCTGCTGCCGTCGGCGTCGCCGCCGCTGCCGTCGGCGTCGCCGCCGCCGCCGTCGCCGCTGCCGTGGCCGTCGTCGTCGCCGCACCCGCCGCCGTCGTCGCCGCCGCCGCTGTTGCCGTCGGCCTCGCCGCCGCTGCCGTCGCTGCCGCTGCCGTCGGCGTCGTGCGCCGCCGCCGCCGTCGCCGCCGCCATCGCCGTCGTCGTCGCCGTCGCTGCCGGTGTCGTCGCCGACGGCGTCTGTCGTCGCCTTCGTCGTGCCCGTCGCCCGCCGCCCGCTGGCCTCTGGGGGGCAGCCGCCGGCCTCCCGGCCGCCCGAGGGGAGGGGGCGTGCTGCCCTTCTCAGTCCACGAGGTTCGTGACGACCTACCAGACCACCCCAACCCAACCCGAAGACCCGAATTTCGGGTTGGGGGGGGGTACGGGCTGCGTTTGTTTTTTTGCTTTCTATGTTCGCCGGCCCTCCCCCACTGGAAGTGGAGGGTAAATCGGGGCCTTCTGGTTGGGTTGGGGTGGTTTGGTGGGCGGTGAGTTCGAGGCGGCACCACGCCACGCCCTGGACGGCGCAGCAGCATCACTGAAGCGGCCCGCGGCAGATCGAGACTCTGGCAAGCCGCGGCGGGACCGAGCGTCTTCGAGGGCCGAGGCTCTTGTTGCATTCCCATAGGCCTACCACGAATTTTTCTCTAGACCCAAAATTGTTCGGATAACAAAAAGCAATGTTCTTGGAACACAAGACCGGTCTATTAAAACAAGACGGTCTCAGCCAGAAATGTCCTGATAACATTTCGTGCGTACCATAAAAGGTTATTATGACTATGTTTGGTAGGCCTATAGGCGAGCTAGGACGTTTCGCCACTGCTCGATCTTGGGCGCGCTCTCGCCCCCCCTCTCTTGGGCTGCCTCCCGCGGCGCAAGCCAGCGCGAGGCCGCGTGGAGATCCACCTCCGACGCCATGAGTTCTGCTGTGCAACATGGGTCCCACAAGTCTGGACCACGTCCCGGGGGCTGGCTTTGCACTCCGAGTCGACTCAGGGCCACGACACAACTTTATCCTTTTTGATCAACTGTCCTGGGGCCATGTAGGGGCCCTCGGAGGCAGATGATTTGCCCGAAACCCTCCGCACTGATCTACAGTCGGGCCTAGGCCAAAATAACATCCTTCAAGGACATGAGACCCTCAGCCGGCCAAAACACACAGAACATCCAAGGGTATCTTCCCCAGAGCGCACACGACCGCCCAACGAGCACGACGAGCACGAGGGCACCCTCCCCGAACCGACCTCGATCATATGCCTCGGCCCGATGGTATCACATCGCGAGGAGGTCTGGGGGGCGGGGCTCCTGAGGCCTCCTGAGGCGCGCGCTGGCCACTGCCGCCGACCGCCGCCGCCGCCGCCGACCTCGGTATTCGCGAGGATCTCGGGCCTTTCTCGGGGGACCTCCCGAAGGGCTCCTGGGGGGGGGGGGGGGGGGCGAACATTGCAACGAGAACTCTTGTAAACCCAAGAATCGATCGAGGAGGACCCTTGGAGGCCTCTGGGGCCCCCCCGAACCGCAAAAGGGCGGAAAGCACCAACAAGCAGTATCCCTAGACCCTCGATTGGAACAAACGACTCGGTGGTTAGTTTAATGGTGGCTACTGCTGTCTGCATGCCCGTTCAGAAACTAACCTAGCAAGCCTAAACACTATGGCCCGTGATGCAGGCGATCCACGCAGCACCCCCGCCCTGCTAACCACCATGTGGAATTACGAAAAGGTGGTTGGCAACTTTGGGTTCGTATATGGGGGTTCAGACTGTTTTTGCACACTGGCTCAACCGCCAACGCCCCAACCACCACTTCGGAAGTCCGAATTCGAACAAGCAACGACGACGGCGTAGTCCAAGATATCCTCCGACATGATGATTTGGTGTTCGTTCCATCCCGCGGGCCCAATGAGGCCCCGACCTTTTCCCCAGGGGTTGCCTCGCGCCCCGGATCCATTTCTGGTGGCCCTGGGGGCCCACAACGGGCCCCAGAGGCCGACATCGAGGAACAACGCTCGGATGGAGAAGGCCCAGGAGTTCGACTAAACTCTACAAAGGGGTCGAAGAAGTCCAAGAACGTACTCAACCGAAGTCGAGGACATCGAACAACAATCGTTGGCGCGCTGGGGCCGTCGTTGGTGGGCTTGTTTTCCACCGCCACCACCAGAAGTAGGAAGGGGAGGGGGTCCTCCTCCTCCTCCTCCTCCTACTCCTCCTCCTCCTCCTCCTCCTCCTCCTCCTCCTTCCTCCTCCTCATCCTCCACCTCCTTCCCCCTCCTCCTCCTCCACCTCCTTCCCCCTCCAACCTATATGCTGGTGGTGGAAAATAGGCCCCGTCAGTCGTTGGCCCCCGGCGAGCCGCCCGGCGAGCCGCCCGTCGAGGCGCCCAGGGGGGCCAGCGTCCAGTCGCCGGCGCAGCCGCGCGCCGCCGCAGCCGGGGCCCCCCCCTGCCGCCCCTGCAGGGGGAGGCCGCTGCCCCGCGGCTGGGAGGCCCAGCACAGCGCCATCGGCCCCTCGGAAGGAATGAGGGGAGGAGGGGAGGAGGGGAGGAGGGGAGGGAGGAGAAGGGAGGAGAAGGGGGGAGGGAGGAGGGAGAAGGGCGGAGGGAGGAGGAGGGAGGAGGAGGGAGGAGGAGGGAGGAGGAGGGCGGAGTAGGAGGAGGAGGGAGAGGATGAGGAGGAGGAAGAGGAGGAGGAGGTGGAGGAGGAGGAAGAGGAAGAAGGAGGAGGAGGAGGAGTAGGGTAGGAGGAGAAGGAGGGAGGAAGACGGAGAGCCGAAACGAGGGGATCGCACAGATCCGGACGTCGCAGAAGAAATGTCGCGCCGCCATGTGTCGGTGCGTTCGGCCTCGGGGGCCGGGCCTGGGGCCGTCCCTGTGGGAGGGACCGACTCCTTCGGGGGTCCACGGTGCGACAAGCGGCACGACCTCGGGGGTCTCATCGGAGTGCCAGCCTCAGGCGGGCGCCAACTTGTGAACCTACAAGACTCGTCAAACAGAAATTAACGATTTTTGTGTTCGGTGCTTGCATGGTCGGCGCTACTTGAATGCTGGCATGAGGTGTTCGGCCCACTCGCAAGGGTGTCCGAAATCCGGCAGTACCCTCACAGCATTGACGAACGCGTCTTCTGACAAGTGCCCGAACTATCGAGCGCTGAGATTTCGAACAGCATTCCAACTTATGTTTGGCGAGGCTTGCAGGACCCATGGGGCCAGCACCCTCTAAAACAGGGCTAGGATCGGGATAAATCGCTTCAGAGCGTTCCGGAGCGCTCTCAGAGCGTTCCGGAACGCTCTGGAGCGGCCGCGGCGCCCAATACATCCTCCGAACCCGCCGATTCTCAGAGATTTCGAGTTATCCCGATCCGATTTTGTCCCGATCTTCGCGTCGTTTTGCCCTGGGCCCAGGCTCGATCGCTGCGTGCGCTCTTCCGGCCTGGCGGCGAGAGCACCTGCACAGACCCAGGGCCCACGACTGTGAAGGGGCCCCAGGACACACAAATAAATACACACAAATAAAACTATTCACCATATTTTCCCATATTTTCTGGGTTTCTGTCTTCCCCCCCACTTCCTATAGTTTCCCATATTTTCTGGGGAATCGAGGATTAATTGTGTCTGTGTGTTTTTTCCTCTCCTGAGACCGGCCTGGCCAGGGTCGGTGTGGCTGCCTCCCGGCTGGCGCTCCCCGCGGCCTGCCCCTCGCGCTCCCCCGCCGGGCTCTCTCTCGAGGTGGCTCCGCCTCCTCTTGGCTCCGCACCCGTCCTCCCAGAGGGTCTACAGTCGAGGCGTTGACCTACGGAACCCTAAATAAGGAACGAGGCCCCTTTTTTCCATGAGTTAACCTTCGATTTCCCATCGAAAACAAAAGGAAAGCCTGAGGCAAGCTGCGAAACGATCAAGGAACGCGGAGCCCCTCCCCAACGAAACGGGTTCCTTCTTGAGGGCCCCGACTGTAGGATCGGAGATCGAGGCTGTTAGACGTTCCTAACAACGGACACGTTCTCCTCTAGAGCTGGCTCCGGGCAAAGGGGGTCTTTCGCAATGGAGTGTAGAACGGGGGATGCAGCAGTGCATCCTGTGGCTCATGGCGCGTGGCCTCTCTCACGGACCAGCGATGCCGAATGCAACGCAGTCTGACCACGCCCAGCACGATCCAGCACGAACGATTGCACGAACTGTGGCGCACGCTTTTTTGGGACCCCCCCTGCCAGAGCCCCAGTGGCCCAACTCTGATAGAGGCCCCTCGGGGAGGCCTCCGCAGGCCTGCTGCGGACCTCCGGCAGACCACCCCTGCAGGGGCATCCTGGCCGCGGTGGCCCCGCGCTCGCGACGTGCGCCTGCCCGCCCTGCTGGCCACGCGCCCGCTGCCCAAGCTCGGCCCTCGCAGGCGGGCTCGCGTACCCCCCCCCCCTCCCTGGCGTCCCGGCTCCCCCCCCGGCAGGCGGAGACACCACACGCGGGCCAAACCGCACAGGCCGCGGCGGCCGACCTCCCGTGCCTGGCCACGGAAGGCCCTCGAGGGCCCGGCTCCCAGCCAGAGCGACAGATCCCAGTCTCTCTTGACTGGGCCAAGGGGAGGAGGAGGAGGAGGAGGAGGAGGAGGAGGAGGAGGAGGAGGAGGAGGAGGAGGAGGAGGAGGAGGAGGGGGAGGAGGAGGAGGAGGAGGAGGGGGAGGAGGAGGAGGGGGAGGAGGAGGAGGAGGAGGGGTGGGGAGCGCCGCCGGTCCGGTGATGAGTGCGACGATGCCAGCATGGCCTGCTTCGGGGGGGCCGTCTGCGCGCAGCCCCCCTGCCCGTCCGCCTCCCTCCCCTTGCGGTCCCGGGGCGTCGTCGCGTGTTTTTCGACAGCAGGCGCTTTCGCCTGTCTTCGGGCATCAAGACCCTCGCGTATCGGTGCAGCTCGGGGGATGCCGCCGAAAGGTGGGGTGTGCGGCTCTAGCCGTGAACTTTTCACCACGGCACAGTTATCCGCGACGTTAGCTCCGAGGATGCAGCCCAAATTCCCCACCTCCAAATTATTAACCTCTGGAGCCTCCTCCAGGAACGTCGGAGAATACCCCCTGCATGGTCGGACGCCGTCCAAGTGTACAGGCACAGCTCCAGACAGGTATCCGAACACCTCCGAATCCCTCCCCCTGCCGCCCCGCTGACCTCCGATGTCCTGGCATCAGTTTGTTTGAGACGCGGGCCCAGAGCTCTCGTTCTTTTCCTCTGGGCCTGCCATCGTTGCGGATCGCTTCAGTTGCGGGCCCCATAGGCCAAGACACTGCAAACCAAGACTCTGCCAGGTCCAGCAGGGGAAAACGAAGACCGGGGCATGCCCGACCCACGACCGCAATCTTCCTTTGGATGCACCAGCGCCCTGGCTTACCAATGTCCCCGTCTGCGGGGCCCTGATCTTACTGCGGGCCCTGCAATTCCCGGGCGCGGCCTCCAAACACCGGACAACCGCACCACAAACCGCCCGCCGCCTCGTGTGCTCGTGGGCCCGGAACTCCCGACCTGCTCCTCGGGGCCTGCTCTCGCTGCGGATCGTTCCTGCCGCGGGCCCTGGGTCTCAAACGCGGCCCCCGACACCAACAGTCGCGGACAGCATCCCGCGCGCCGCCCCGCTGTCGCTCGCGGCGCCTGGGCGTCCCGAGCGGCTGGCCGTGCCCTCGCGCTTGCTGCGTGGCCAAGCCAGGCGCGGTCGGAGGCGGTCGGGCAGCTGGGCCTCTCTGAAACGAACGGCTGCGGTGAAGACTTTATCGGGTGGCGCGGAAACGGAAGGCGCGGAGGAGAAAGGGCGGACTGTAGGGATGAGGCGGTGATGGGCTGGAGAGGTGCACGTAAAGCATTTCACACCCGTCTTCGTCTTTTTTCTCCTCCTGTTCCTCCTGTTGTTCCTCCTCTGTTTCCTTTTGTGTGTTCCTCCTTCTTCTCCTCCTGCTCCTCCTCCTCCTACTCCTTCTCCTCCTCCTCCTCCTCCTCGTCCTCGTCCTCCTCCTCGTCCTCCTCCTCCTCCTCCTTCTCCTCCTCCTTCTCATCTTCCTACTCCTACTCCTCTTCCTCTCTTCCTCCTGCCCCTCCTCTTCCTCCTCCCCCTCTCTTTCCCCCCCCCCCCCCGCCTCTCCAGCCTCATCCACTATACCCACCCCATGGGGAGGAGAACGAGGGAGAGACCAACGTAGCAGAAGACTGAAGTGCCCAGCGGACTAACGCATGAGAACGCGGCGAACGCACACGAATAAGCAGCGCCGCCAAAAATCCCGAGAGCCCCCGGGAAGAGCTCCGAGAGGGCCCGAAGGCTCCTCAAGAGAGCCGACGGACCTCGGAGGGCAGGCCCGCGGCCGGGGCTCCCGCCGTTGCGTCGCCACCCCAGGCCAGTCCCGCGTCCAGAGCAAGAACGACCTGGCCCGTATCTGCCAGTCTCTCAACCCCGTGGACGACATCCACGGAGTTGAGCAGATCGAGGACGATGGCCTGCCGCAGTTCATCTGGCACTCGTTCTGGCGCCTCTACGCGAAGGCGCCGAATGCACTGACGCGGGGGGGGCGAGGCGTTCGAGCCTCGCGAAAGTTAGACGTGCCAGAGTCCAGGCCAGAGGAATATTCGCGCTGGGGTCGCGGCGGACGCGGGTGCAGGCCAGGGCAAACGCGGCGCCGTCTCGGGCCGCGTCGGAGGCGTCGGAAAAGTAAGGATCGCAGCGGGGCAACGGTTTGGGGATGTCCAAAACGCGAAGCTCCGAATCATCATGTCGCTGCACATGGTGCAAAACATCGCCTCTCTTACGTACTCGCCGCCGCTCCCGAGGAGTGACAAAACGTCGTCGTCGTCGTCGTCGTCGTCGTCGTCGTCGTCGTCGTCGTCGTCGTCGTCGTCGTCGTCGCCCAGAAGACAAGTATCCAGGGCGAAAGGAACGTCAGCAATTGCTCTTTTGCTGCCGCGACGGGCTTCCAGCCTCTAGGTCGGCGCCCTCTGGGCGGACGGCAAACCTCACCCGCCTCGCCCCGCGGCGTCGGCGCACGCCGCCAGGCGGGCGGCGCACTCGCCGATGCCCTGCGCCCTGAGCCGCGCCTTGTTCCGCGCGGGGATCTGAGAGCCAGCTCTTACATCATCAGCCTTTCCCTCCGCTCTCCCGTCAAGCATGCTCCAAGCGTGGTCTCTGTTCCCAGACCCCCGACGCCAAGATTTTCTCACGACGCTCACCCCCACAGGTCAGGACCCCTTCCCCAGGACCGGCGATGGCGTCCTGAATCGGTGTTTGACGGTCCCGAGGCCCAGTAAGGGCCTCTGGAGGCCGAAAATAGCGAAAAACCTTGTAGTCGTGCTTTCCTGTTTTTTGTATACCATGCGAGGGGATCTGGGCTTTGCTCCCCCATCCCTCCCCCCCTCTGCTCCCCCCTCCCCCTCTCTCGCCTGCCTGAGCCCCATGCTCCCCTAGACCTCTCCGCAGGGGCTGGCCCGTTGCTGGTGGTGGTGTCGCCTGTCCCCCCTCCGAAGAAAGCAGAACAACAGCGAAGGGGCCCAAACACACGAATAAAAATACGCAATATTCCCCATGCAGTTCTGCATGTTCTGGATGTTCGTCTTCCCCCCACTTCCCATCTGTTCCATCTTCTCCTGGCGAATGCTTTCTCATTCGGCGTTTCGACACTGGGCGGAAAGGGGGGGAGGAGCGGTTCTGGCTCTGGACCTCTGCGTAATAAGACTGTCTGCAGCAGTGCGTCCCCATTGCGGGGGAGACTCCACCTGCTCAAAACAGGCGCCAACAACACAGCCAAGATCTACTGCAGGGGGGGGGGGGGGAGGTGCGAGGGCCCGCGCCGATCGGCAAAACCATGAGTAAGGAAACGATCGCCTGGGAATCGACGATTCGCGGTGTCTGCGTGTTCCTTCCCCTCCTTTGAGGCCCCTCCTTCTGTTTTCCTCCCTCTGTCAATTAAAGCTGTGCGCGGCCCGCTTAGCTTCGACCGGAAGAGGCTCGCGCTCGACCCGCGGATCAAAAAGTGTTTCTTACCCTCCTGAAGAACATCCCCGCCCCCGCTGGGGACATCTCAGCCACGCCGGCCGCGCCACCCGCCCAGGCCCCAGGCGGGAATGGGTGCAGTCTCCGCAGAGGCTCGGGGCACCCAAGCACACCGCGAGGTGGTGCGTTGGGAGAGCGAACGTGCCTTGTCATGGCAAGGGCGGGGATGTTTCTGACAATGATGGCCTTCCTCCGAGGACACGGGTGCTGGATGAAGCGGAGTCGTTGGATTCTTCTGCCATGATCTGGCATCCTGGGCTGCGCCAGGGCCCCGAGATTGCCAGAGAGCGGCGCGGGATGAGGAACTGGCCCTGGGGAAAGCCCCGGTGGACTACAGAACCTACAGAACCTGGTTCCTCCAGGACCCATACAGTCGGGGCGTTGACCCAAGGAACCCTAAATAAGGAACGAGGCCCCTATTTTCCATAAGTTAAACTTCGATTTCATATCGAAAACCTAAGGAAAACCTAAGGCAAGCTGCGAAACGAGTAAGGAACACGGAGCCCCTACCCAATGAAAAGGGTTCCTTCTTCAGCGCCCCGACTGTACCCACTTCCCTCACGGCAGCCCCAAAGGGATCGCAAACGTTTTCCCGGCACTCCTCCCGGCCGGGCGAACCCTGTGCCCAGGATCGGAGCATCCGCCCCCCCGGGCCCAAGCGGGGAGGCGCGTGCGTCGGAGATCCAGGACGACAACTATCGGGTTGGGAGGATGGGGTCGAGTGTCTCTCCGAGTGATGAGCTCAGCGCTGGCCTGGCCAGGATCGGTGCCGATGCAGAGGGGGCATTCCCCAGGGTCGGAGTCCATCCTCCGTCCCCTTCCCTGCATCGCTGCACGGGCAGGGAGGAGGGCATGCCGCAAGAGACAGGAATGTGCCCGTGAGCCCCCTATAGAAAAAAGACTAGTTCAAGTAAGGCCTCTGCTCCAAGCGCGCACCACAGTGCGGCGCCCCCGTCTACTCAGGCAGACAACTCGATATCATCAACATCCTGGGTTCCATGAGAACTCACCGCCACTCTTCACAATTGCCGCCTCCTCCAATCATGAAGTCATCCGCACGCACGAAATCATCCGCTCACATGTCGATCATGCCTCAAAAATCGTCCCCGCGATGCCAACATCAATTCTCGCTTTTGGCAATCATTCCTGCGCAATGAAGATTTTGTCGCAGTGCCTTAGGTCCTTGTCGTGCTTGGTCAAACCAGTTGATGTCAGATACCCCGGATTTCATAAGAAAGTGGGGGGGGCACACGTGGGGGAGGGGTCTGGTTCGGGCTGTCTTGGCGAAGGGAAACGGCTCTGATTTTGATGTCCGAGGATGTCCGGCGGGGGGGGGTCTGTTTCGATCTGTATGGGGGACTCTGGGGGGGGTCTCAGTTTTTGTCACCAGTTGGCCCAGAGAGGGGGGCCTCTGGCCGAACGCGGCGCAACACGCACACGCATGGCGGAGGGGCTGAATTTGATTTGCGCCAGTGGGGGGGCAATCTTTTGATGCAGGTGGTCCCAGACGGGGGGGGGGAGGGCGGAATGGCTGGTCGTCTGGGAGGCTTGTGACCCCCCCCTGTATAATGAAATACAGAGTGCCAATTTCGGGCATGTGCGTCGTCCAGCTTCGTCCAGTGAAGGGGGAGGAGGACGAGGAGGAGGAGGGGGAAAAGAAGTCGACGCGGAGGACGAGGAGGGGGAGGAGGACGATCAGGAGCGGGAGAAACAGAAGAGCAAGAGAAAGCAGATCCTGCTCCTTCCACTTCTCAACCTGCTCGTCGTCGTCTTCCTCCCCACCTACAATCTCAAGCACCTCCCTGGAACCTCTCATGGATTCGATTTCCAATGGCTGCCTAACACAATCATGAGGTCGTCCTGCCCCGTCTCGTGGCTGTCGTCGTCCACCTCCTCCCCATGGACCACGGAGGAGACGGGTTGCATGGGAGAAACTGTCCGGCTGCGCCTGGGAGGCGTCCGGGTGCGACTGCACCGCCCGCATGACGTCGGCCTCGCGAGGGGCGGCGCCATCCCCCCTGAGATCCAGCGCCGCGAAGAAAAGATAACATCGTGAAGAAACACGACCGGAGACCTCGGACCCACACTTCTGCAACATCAACCTCTACCCCGATTTTCTCGAGCAAGATCGATCCGTCAGACCAGAAACGACCAGAGCAACTATCGCCCAGGACAGCAAGCACCCTTCAGCGCCGCCCGTGGCGCGCCCCGCGCGCCACGGAACGGGGCCCATCACCGATCCAAGAGATCCGCGCGGACCTTCCAAAGCTTATGCATAAAGAAAGACCATGTTGTGGAGACTCCTGCGCTGGTCTCTGCCACTGCGCAGACCTGAACGATCGGAAGCTTTTCTATTCCCATCTACTCCGCATGTGCCGATGCTGGGTCGCTGGCGGCGCTCAACCTTGAACAGTCGTGGCGGGAGCGGGATGGGGGTGAAGCCAACCCCCCCTATGGAAGGGGGGCGCGACGTGTCAGCCTGGCCACTGATCGGTGCGCATCGGCGTGCTCTCGTCGTCGGGCCTGCTTGAAGCAACTGCAGCAAATTTGTGTCGCGAGGAATTGTATGAGCTTCGGGGATGGACAGACCCCCCTTTCGCAAAACGTGGTTTAGTGAAAACGACCTGAAGCCCAAACCTGGCGGGCGCAAGCCTGGAAAATAACGGCCACGGCGCCCTCTCGAGAACCGAAAACGGACAATTCACTAATCGACGTGTCACTGTTGGGGGTTCTGTCCACCCCCGAGAGTTCCTGCCGCCGCGTGGGTCGGTCACTGCCATGGAACGATGGCGGCCTTCCGCTCGCGCGGGTCGCTGGACGTCGGCCAACTCGGGGGCACTGGCGGCGTTCCTCCTGGAACGCCCCGACCCCGGGTGGCCACCGCGTCGGCACGACACAGACCTACCACAAGCAATTGCGTGGGACTCCTGCTCCTCCACAGCGAAGGTATGTCGGCGGGGCTTCAGCTCCTGAAGGATGCCTGCAGCCAGTGCCCGCCCCTGTCAGAGCCCGACATCCCCAGCGCTGATCGGCCAGCAGGGGCGGGGGCTCGCAACTGGTCGCGGATTTGCACTGATCGGGGGGGTTGGGGGAGGGGGGGGTGCAAGGCCTCCAGAGGGCCCAGGGAGGGCCCCAGTGACAGGGGTCGAACTGCATTACTTTGATTCCGCGGGCGCCAAATTGTCAAGGACAGACAGACGCCGGTCAGCAAGCGGTGAGATGTACGTGGCGAGAATTGGGGCACCAAGCCGAACACCCGAGATGCATTACACAACAAGCATGCTTCTCGATCCTCCTCCAAATTTCGCCGTGAAGCGTCCCCCCGTCCCGCGCGTCCGCGCCGAGGTGCCCATGCCCCCCGAGCAAATCTGGTACGCTTCTTGCCGGGCGTGCAGGAAGAAGGGGGGGTAAAAAACACAGGACCGCCACCCTGACGTAAGAGGAAAGCCTCCTCCTTCGCAACCTCCCCCATCACCTTCCTCGTCCTTGGGAGGGCGCCAACCCTACACATACACCGATCCTGGCCAGGACCATCCTGGGCCAAGCGCCGGATCGGTGTATACGCCTTCCTGGCTTAGCAAGGAAGGCATCTAGACATATCCTGGGCTCAAGATGGGCCTGGCTGGGATCGCCTCCTCCTCCTCCTCCTCCTCCTCCTCCTCCTCTTCCTCCTTCTCCCATGCCTGGACGGGAAAGGCGGTGTTGGGGGGGGGGGGCGGGGGGCACGCCTCGCGCAGCAGGTGCACCGTGGGGTGCGGGGCCCGGATGCTGTAGTCTGCGGCGTCCTGGCGCCGCCCCCGTCCGGTGCCGCGCAGAGCCGGAGCGGCGGCGCCCGGGCGGGCCCTCCACGGCACTGCGCCGGTCTGGGAGCTGGGCCGGTCTGTTTGTCTGGCGGCTATGTTGCCGCCGTCGCCGCCCCGTTGCCGCCTCGTCGCCGCCCGTCGTCTGGGCCTGTCTGTCGGTCTGGCGGCTATGTTACCGCCGTCGCCGCCCCGTCGCCGCCTCATCGCCGCCCGTCGTCCGGGCCTTGTTGTGCATTGCGATGCGCCGTTTTGCATGCTGCCTTGCTGTGCTTTGCAATTTGCATCGCTTTGCTTAACATTGGTTAGGGTTACACTGCGTTCGAAAACATGAACGGTACAACATGTATTGCCTCACATGTCGTGATCAGCGCCGGCTGCTTCACAGAAGTTGTACCATGTAGGTTACAGCACGTGTGTTGTGCAACAGAGATGTCGCCACATCGATTGCACCACATACATTCCACAACACAAATTGCACCACTAACGTATATTGCATATGTTGTGCAACATCGGTTGAACTACATAAAGTGCACATCTGTAGACTGCACATATGCAGAATGCATCGTTCATACGTAGATTGCACAGCATCTGTTGTGCAACGTATTGCGCATCATATATGGCACAGCATGAGTTCCACACCTCAAACGCACAACACAAGTTGCAACTCATAGGCGGCACACAACATATTCCACAACATATGATGTAAATCACTTGATGTACACAACCGATTGCAACATGGGCGGCACCACATGTATTGCACGACATATTGCGAACCATAAATTGCACCACATCTGTTTTAACCACATATATTCTCGCTTCGAAAACAATATTGCGATCTCCCCTCCCCGCCCGTCGGAGATCACGGCCCCCACTTTCGTATAGCAACTTACATATGTTTCTGCCCCATCGTCCATCCAATACAACAATCCATATCACCCCAGGCAGGCTGGTATCTCTGCAAGAAATATAATGCACGCGCGCACTCGTTTATCACAATTTCTCGGTTTCCGGAAGGTCCCCTGCAAACAACGGAACGACGTGCACACGCGCGCGTCGTCGCGGGCGCATGCCGAAATCCTTTTTAACAAAAACCTTATACTTCGTAAGGATGTCAAAATCGAGTGCCCCGAAACCATACAACATACATATGGTTTCGCAACAATGGTTTTCAAACCAAAGTTGTGTTCGGGCTCTTGCGAATTCGCAAGAAAACCATCGATGTTTCAACATGTTCACAATTTGCTACCAAACGGGCGTTTCGCACGCGCATGTCGGAATCCCTCGAACGCCCTTGCGCGCGTGCGGTCGCGCGAATCCCTTGCAAACGAAACAACTAAATACAGACGCGCGCGTCGTCGCGCGTGCAGGTCCCACCAGGCTCCCAAGAGCGCTCCAGGAGCGCTTCAAGTGGCCTCCTAGAGAGCTCAACATTGCCTGAATCGGTCCAAGAGCGATCTAAGACGTCAGATATGGCCTCCAGACAGCCCAATGCGCCTTCAAGGCGCCGCAAGAGGCCCCCAAGAAACCCCCCAGATGGGCCCACAGAGGCAGACATTAGTCTTTGTTCCTTTGGTTCCCCACGTGTTTAATGGGGTTCTGGTTTTCGTCCCTGCCGCGTCGCGCCCGCGTTTCCCTCCTCCCCTGCTTTTTTTTTCCTCTCTGCAAAGACATACACACAGACACACAGACACACAGACACACATAGACAAACACACACATATATACACACACACATCGGACACTTACACACCTCACAACACAGACACAGACGCAAGGCGCAGCAGGCGCGGCAGATTCTCGACACCATGAAGGGTGCGCAAGAGGTGGTCCCTCAGCGCGGCCGCTATCCGTCACGGTCGTCCAGGGCATAGAGGGCGTGGCATTTTCTCGACACCATAGGGGGTGCGGAGGGGGTGGTCCCTCAGCGCGGCCGCTATGCGAGCCGGTCGTCCAAGGCATAGCAGGCGTGGCGCTTTCTCGACACCATAGGGGGTGCGCAGGACGTGGTCCCTCAGCACGGCCGCTACCCGTTACCGTCGTCCAGGGCATCGCACAAGTGGCATTTTCTCGACACCATAGGGGGTGCGCAAGGAAGGGTCCCTCAGCGCGGTCGGTATTCGTCACGGTCGTCCAGGGCGTAGCACGCGTGGCATATTCTCGACGCCACGAAAGGGTGCGCAAGAGATGATCCCTCAGCGCGGCCGCTATCCGTCACGGTCGTCCAGGGCGTGGCAGGCGTGGCACTTTCTCGACACCATAAAGGGTGCGCAGGGGTGGTCCCTCAGCGCAGCCGCTATCCGTCACGGTCGTCCAGGGCATAGCAGGCGTGGCATGTTCTCGACACCGTAGGGAGAGCGCAGGGGGTGGTCTCTCAGCGCGACCGCTATCCGTCACGGTCGCCCAGGCAACGCAAGCGTGGCATTTTCTCGACACCATAAGGGGGTGCGCAAGGGGTGGTCCCTCAGCGCGGCCGCTATGCGAGCCGGACGTCCACGGCATAGCAGGCGTGGCGCTTTCTCGACACCTTAGAACGTGTGCAGGGGGTGGTCTCTCACCGTGGCCGCTATGCGCGCGGGTCGTCCAGGGCATCGCACGCGTGGCATTTTCTCGACACCATAGAGGGTGCGCAGGGGGGTCGGTCTCCCAGGGACTATGGACCCCCTCAAGGCACTCAAGCTCCCAAGGCATGACAGGCGCCACCAACGGGATTGGCGACGCAACGGCCACCTGCATCTTTCTCGCAAGTTTCACGTCGAGTATCATCACACCAGACATATTATAAGTATGTGGGGTTCCTCGATCGTGTAATGTTTGATGGTTATTGGCGTTCTCGCCTTTTCGGCTTGCCAGCATTCCAAGACGGCCCAAGAGGCTTCCAGGATCGCCCCAACACGGCCCAAAATGCCTCCAAGAGCGCCCAGAACGGCCCCAGAGGGCCCAAAGACAGCCCCAGAGACCTCCAAGATGACCGAATAGGCTCCCAAGACAGCTCCAAGAGCGGGCCCAGACGAGGGACCCGAACGGACATTTCGAACTCAAGGCGCAGAGAGGTCCCCTGGAGGCCCCAAGAGGCCCCTTAAGAAGCCCCCAAGAGGCCCCCGAGAGGCCCCAAGAGGCCCCAAAACAGGCCCTCGAGAGGCCCCCGTGACGCCCCAGGAGGCCCCAGAAATACCTCCAAGAGGCCCAAAAAGAGGCTCCAAGAGGAAGCGGCCTCCAAGAGGCCACGAACGCGCCAAGCAAACGCATGCGACGACACCATACGGGCCAGCGGAGTGAGCGAAGCGATCCGCCGCCCCACCGGGCACGGCGTGTGAGATCCACAGCATGGTCTTCAATAGTGCTTTGTGTAAGTCTTCTCTCCAGCGAGTTTTTCATACCTACCCCTGCCTCTGAGCCCTCGCAACCCCATCCTAAACTCCTCCCCGCGCCTCGCTCATTCCGCCGGCCTGGGGGCCCCGGCTGCGGCCGGGGCGCCTTCTGGCCGCCATTTCCGTCCCAAGACGACCCCCTTTCACGTTCTAACCTTCCAGGCGCGGCCAGGCGCTCTCAGAGACCTCTCCAGGAGCCCACTGGGCCGGCTTTTCGGGCCTCCTGAAGCTCTCCTGGGCTCATTTTCACCCTTCTTCAGGCCACTTGGAGCCGTTTCAAATGCCTTTTCCACCTCTTTTCGAGCCGCAAACACATGGGATGTTGATGATTCTGGCCTTCTCGAACTTCTCCTTGCACCTCTCTCGGAGCTCCCGTGCATCTCCGCGGGCTCTTGCGGCCATCCTAGAACCTGGGCGTGCTTCTCGGACCCATCTTTGGCCGTCTGGCCGCCTTCTTGGCACCGTATTTCGCCCATTCAGGGCGCCCCCTCAGAGCCTCCAGGGGCTCTTCCAGGAGCCGCAAACAAACCCAGACTGCTTTTTCTCCTGCTTGTTTTCATCGTTCACCCCAAAGCGCTGCACTTGACCCATTCCGACTCCTGTTTGGGCCCCTCCAGAGGCCCCGCTGGGACGGACCTGACGATTTCTTTGAGCTTCTCCAGCCTCTCTGCAGCCGTCCTAGCCTCAGGGTCATATCAAAGACACTCCTCGGCGCAGTTTCTGAACCTGACGGTTGTTTCAGTTCCTCCAGCCTCTCTGCGGCCGTCCTGGCCTCAGGGTCATACGATACAGAGTTCGCTGCTGTTAGTTCCTCCAGCCTCTGTGCGGCCGTCCTGGAACCAGGGTCATACGACAGAGAACTCGCTGAGGAGCCCAATGTCCTCTCCGTAGAGCCCCACGAGGCCTCCAAGCGGAAGCACCAGCACCAGCACCAAAACATCTCTTACTCGCGCGCGCGGAGCGGCCGCCGCTCACACAGAGACTCCAGGATCAAACAAATGGTGGGGCGGCGGTGTCTGCCCCCCTCAGGGGCGCTCGCTCACTTAAATAACGAATGCGCACGCGCGCGTCGTCCCGCGCGCATGCCGAAATCTTTCAAAAACCCAACGTGTCGTAGGGGTTTCCACAAAGCGCCTGCCGGCGGTCTGTGGCCACTGCCCGAGAGCTGCCGTGACGGATGCACTCAGCTCTTTGGAGCCTACGTGCCTGTTGGGTACCTCGAACCGTGCCTGCGCTCACCAAACAAAGGCGCCTTGGCTGCAACCATACATACAACTCTTCCACACGAGCTTCCCAGCTGAATCAATGAGCTGGACGTCCATATTTAACCCAGCAGAGCCACGGACTTACTGAGCCTCGCGCCACATAATACGAGCATGCCCCAGAGGGGATTGTAGCAGATTCGGCAAATTCGGTTTCAGGGATTCGCATCCTTAACACGATCCCTTTACACTGCTCAACCGCACAAATAACTCACCCTGTTCCAAGACGCAAATCCTGAGCACCAATGCGTAACACTGAACTTTACTTAACGGTCATCCGTAACAGAACTCCTTGAAACGTACTCTTAACAACAATCCCGAATACGAACACGTAACACACATCCACGCACAC